AATAGACGCATCGAAATCCCTAATCATAAAACTAGGAAAACCAAAAATTAAGACTCCTAGAAACTATGAACCGAAAACAAATTCTCTAAAGCCCCTTTTTTTTGTAAAAGAAAGACGACGGCAAACTTCTTAGGAAAATAATTACCTATGACACATCTAGGAAAATAAAGACATAGATTGAAAATAAATTCTCTAAAAGAGCTTTCTTTCTTTCTTTCTTTTTTCTAAGGACTGAATGATTATGGCTTTCAAATTAAAACCTACCTAGACACATCATGGACCGACCCAAAAAAATGAGAAAATAAGCAAACCGCAAGATAAAGGTTTAGAAAACTTACTTCACTGGTAGGGACTATGGCAATCACATAGACATGCGCATGAAATGTGAGGTTCGATTTCTATCTAGACTACGGCTTGCAAAATGGAGACGAGGATTAGGGCTGCAAACAGGTCCATGGTTGTGGTTTTGGCCGGGTTCCTTGACTCCGCCCGGTCAAGGAGTCGACCCGGTTGCAAAGGGTGCAACCGTGGTGGGAACTCAATGACACCGTGAAAGAACTTTCGGGACCAAGGAGGGCGACCCGCACTACGCGGGGTGTGGTCGAGGTGTCCGCTGTCTCGAAGATCACCATCCTAAACTTGCCACCCGGGTTCGGCGGCGGGTAGTGTGTGCGGTATAGTGTAAATGCAAGGCATGCACAACATGTTATATCAAACAGCGCTTCGTGCATAAAATAAACCATACATCCAAACACCTCCACACGCAAAACAAGGGTTAACAATCACGCCTCCACCTTATACCTCCCATTCTCAGAAAACATTTAACACCTAAAATGTTAGGGACGCACTGATCCTCACAAACAAAATATTTTTTGAAAAGAAAAACTAGCCTAAGTCCACTAAGAGTTTTAACTCAAGTCCCTGGCCGAGTCGCTGCCGTCATCACCTAAAATTTCTCTCGACTAATGGATTGTTAAGACTAGTTTCAACTCGCCCTCCCAAGCCCTACCACTTCGCAACTTAGGTTTAAATTTTTAACATGCAAAGTTTTCATGCTTGAGTCGCCACTAATCTATTTGTAGGTTGATTAGAAACCTAAATAAAACATAGGAGATATGTTTTATTCCTACTAACAGAGATTCTAAAGCCCGGGGACTTGATTACGCTAGATCTCGCAGTCTAACGCCTTTCTGCACCTTTTTTTTCAAAAATGTTTTGTAAGTGTGCGCTTTGGATCCATTTCAACTTAGTTACTAACATGTGAGGTGTTTATGCAAGTGCGCAAACCACCAATTTAACACCCAAAAGCATTAAATAAATTGCAAGTTTGGAAGAATTACTTACTTGAAGCAAGCGTATCGCATGATTAGCTAGAAAATCACATTGACACCTAATATGATTTCTAATTAACAACAATTCACTCAATTTCTTTTTTTTTGGATTTTCACTTATTTAAATGAAATCTAGCCTATATGCAATGACATGCGAAAATGACATGCGATTAATGCTAACCTAGCATGCAAACTATATGTCGTGCGGCACGACTGACCATTTCTAATGTCGACAGTGACGAATGATTATTTTTGGTATTTTCTCAATTTAGATTCGGAATAATAAAAATGCCTAAATTAACATGCAAACTATGATGACTTAATCTACCCTAGCATGATTTCTTTTAGGATTTTTGTTAAAATTCGAAATAATGAATAACCTGAATAATCTATTAAGATTAGAATATTACTTAATTTAAACTAGAAATAGATCATCTCAAGTCCTAATTTAAATTAAATAACTACTCTATCTTCTAGATACATTTAGGATTCCTAGACATGCAAAAAACTCTAATTCAAATCTAATTAATATTTTTGAATTTTCTGTTTATTTGAAAAAGGAAAGCAATTAAATAAACAAGGATGGCAACCACATTCAAAACGTCCACGCGATCCGCCATATTTGTTTCAAACTCGGATTAGGCACAAAAATCAAACTATCTGGTCATATCTATAGGTTATAGATATCAACGGAAAGCCGATTATTCAAATTTAAAGCGGATAAAAATCATTATCGTACCCAAGTGGTTATGGATAGGATAATAATTTTTCGTATCGCGTATCGAACGTAAAGGATAAGGATCGGATAGTCGTCCGAATACGTTGCTTAAATTAGGAAGTTTTCCTAATTTTGAATATTTAAAAATATTGCGGATATATCGAACATTATCCTAAGATATCTAAATATCCACATGATATTCACGAAATATTCAAACACCCATATTAGGAAATTAAATATTCTGAAAATATCGGATAATGTTGAATTACCTAATTTGCAGATAATTCCCAAATTCAAATCGACTCGGATCGAGTTTATGGATCGGGATCGGACTCGGACGACGGGCGACGCGCGCCATGCGCGGCGGCTCACGGTGGCGTCGGCGACGGGCGCGGTGGAGCGCGCAGTGGTAGCGGTTCCCCGCTGAACAACGGCGGGTCACGAGCGGCGATAATGCGTCAAGGACGACGCGGTGGTGGTGCTCGTCGAAGGGATGCTGCGTAAATCAGGTGCTCCCCTGGAAAACTTTTCTTCGTTGAACAAAGCAACCCAGTGATATTGTGATTTGACAGTGAACGTGGCTTCTCTTCTCTTCCTCAAAGCCACCTGTTTGTTACACGATGAAGTCTTCCTTATCAAACGGTGGTCAAAGTCCCTCTTTTTCTCACCACACCTCCACCACTGGGCTCTCTATAATCACGTCATTATCAATCTTCCTCTGCTCGTTTGACTTGTGGCCATTGGAGGCGACTGATGCTCCCGGAGACACTTGTTGGTAGGCGTTGTGTGGCGGCTCAGCAGGGATCACGAGCCAGGAGGCAACAGTGATGTTGAGAGGGACAGAGCTGAGCAGCAACGTCGTCAAGGAGTTCTGGACAGAACAGCTTCGCGTCGGTGCAGGGGAGTCCTCGGCGGGGTCTTCGACTGGATCGGTTAACAGGAAGGAGCAGCACTGGGCTGGGGAACAGCAACTACGTAGCAAGGACGGCGTCGAGCGGCTATGACTGATTGCGGTGGTACAGCAGCTCGGCTCAGGCGGAGAGACGCGGCAAGGTGGGGTGCAGCCAAAGGCTTGGCTGCGGGCTCTCTTCAAGTTGTCTTTCTCACTCCTTCTTTGGCGTTTCCTCCTTTGCCTTCTCTATGAGTACAGAACATGGAGACCTTTTGTTCTCCACCTTGACTCTCGTGAGTTGAGCCTCTGCCGAAAGAACAAAAAATAATCTCTCTCTTTCTCTTTTCTCTCAAGTGATTCACTCGTGTGTTCTCTGAAATTTCTGAACTTGAAAATTATTAAAGCCCCTTTGATTATGATGCATAACGATATATTTATATCGCAACCCTAGGTTAATTAACCGGGCTTCCTAGTCCTAATGGGCTTAGACTTAGGCTTAGATTTTAATTTAATTTAAATGGGCTGAATTAATTAAGGATAATGGGCTGAATTAAGCTCAAATTAAAACAACCGAGCCCGTTTGACTCGTAATTCCGCCCCTTCCGAGAAATGACCAGTCCCAGTCGATGAAATTTAAGCTCGTTCGTCACCGCTAGGTCCGATGCAAATGCAATTAATTTAAATGGATTTAAACTATATGTTTATGCAATTTAAATATTTTTGTTTAGGGGTTAAAAATTTAATCCCTAATTTTCTATGCAAATTACACTAAATGATACGCCAAAATTTAGGTGTCAACATGACTAAATTGACATGAGTGCAATAGGTTTAGGATTCTTTTAGGAAGTTTCCCCGATCTTTACGGTGTTAAATGCAAGTTAGCTTCACCCGTCTTTGGGCAGTGAATGGGGGAGACCCCTTAGAGAATAGACCGAGAGAACACCCAAAGATCAAATGCTCTCTCGCCTCTTCGCATCCTCTTTCCACCCAAAGTGCAACGCGTGTGGCCCAAGACATGGAGGCTCCCTTTGAAACTGACCCCTGTTAACTTATTCTCTCTGCATTTCTGAGGCCGAGATGTGATCAGGTCATTGTAAACCAGGTTCAATGACGAGGGTTTTGGTTGGAGGAAAGCTTCAAGAGGAAGAGTTCCATTTTCTTAAGGGTTTCTTGAAAGATGAGCTATCGATTTCTGGCCCAGAAATCATTAAAAGAAAGAAGAAGATAAGCTATTAATTGTATTATCCACTCGTTTCAGACTCTCCCTCCCTCACGTCTCTCCCCCTCCTGATCGATAACAACGTATACTTACCAGTTCAAAGCCCCTCATGAGAGACTGGAGTCGAACTCCGGCATCCACAGTGGTTTTCGGCCACATCTTTTTTTTCAGCTTTGAAACATTACTCGGGCTCGACGCGGACCTGCGTGCCATCGCGACGTCGTAGCGAGTGGTCCTCAGCCATCGTCTTCGTGCGGCATTATTAGTTGATCGTTATAGTTGGTGAGTGCTAGGATGACCCGATTTGATTTGGGACCTCAAAATTACCACGAAACTAATTTCAATCTCCGACCATCAATTCTGTTAAGGCATGGCGGCTTAGAATCGTCTAAAGGAGGGCGACACCACGGATGCACGATGCTCCGCCTCAAATAAGATCGCCAAAAGTCGCAATTCGCAAGTTCTGGGAAGTGAAGGATCCAAAAGTATGTGGCCTTGCATGAGGTTCCATATGGAAGATCTAATCGCTTTCGCTTAGCCTCGTTACCATTTTCTTATAAACATCCAAATCGTTAGTTTGTGAACTTTATAAAGAAAGATCTCAGACTGTCAACAATTTTTCTAAAGGCTATGAACCATCTATTCTTATTTAAGGCTAAGACCATGGGAGTCATCCAAAAGTAGCAGGAATTGGAATTTGACGCCCATAATGAAATCGTTGGACTCCAACCCACTTGGTCGATGGTGGCCTCATGAAGCTCTCAGCCCATGAGATTGGAGGACCAACAGGACTCGGAGCAATGCTAGTGAAAACCTGACAGACAAATCAGACACCCTGCATTCCCTAATAGATGAAGCCACTGATGAAATGCCTGAAGCTATTCTCTCGATAAGCAATCAGCGAAATTTTCGGCTGCAACATCAAACAATGTTCTACATACAGCCTACAACCCCAGATGCTGAACTCGTCCTCGGGACGATCACACTATGAGTCTATGACTTTCCCTGCTTCAATTTCATATGAAGAATGTGGGCATAAAGTACCTCATCTAGTTACAATTAGAACTGCCAACGAGAATGTGACTTTGATAAAGAACAGACTGCCTGCCCAACGGCAATGTAGGTAGTTAAGTCACTGATATTAATCAAAACTGCAGAACTAGTGTTAGCCAGACTTCAGTTGTTGCACATCCAGCAGGATCAGATATTAGCTAAATCCGCCAATAGTACTATTTACTCTTCGCACCAACCTCACATTCCATGAAATGGCCGAGTTGAAGCCATCCATTGGCACCACGACACGGCCGATGAGAATATCGAAAGTGCGTCCGCTTTGTGTCTAACAGCGGTGAGTCCGTGGGCTTAATGCGAGATGGTTTGGGGCAGAAAGCAATCACAAGAAACTTGTGACTACACAACAATTTATCTAGAACTAGGATGCCTTCTTTTCCTTTCTTTGTTCTACCACAGTTGGTCCATACCTCTGCGTATTCGCTCTGACACATCCGCTCTTAACGAACTCGGCTCCTCTGCAATTTCCTGCTGACCCATCTCACGCAGTCTGCTCATAATATCTAAATGCAATATATGCGAAGAACACTGCACGTGGAAATAAACTATTATCAAACACCTAGAGATCGAAATGGAAGGCTATTCAGATCGAGAGAAAAACCAGTTTACCTCCCCAAACTCTTCCAACAATAGAAGAAAAGCTCCAAAAGATTAAAAGTGCAGCAGCAGCTACGGCTTTTTTGTGAGAGCACACGCCCCAAGAATCTCGAAACAGTTGAATCCAAATCTTGCCTGCACAATCCACAGTGGACCCAATTAGATGTTAGAATTCAATTTTGAAATGTCACATTGTCTCCTGCAATTTCTCTAGTCATACCAGAAAATTGTTTCTAGGATACAACCAAACTGTTAAAAAGTTTTAGCTTTCTCTAAACAATGCTTGTCATCCCATCGAAGATGACATTAACATTCTAAAGGAGCTGGTTCAAAAAGATACCGGGAGCTCTGTCCAGCTCTCTTTGTAGTAACCTAAGCTTAATCAAGATCTCAATGAAAAGGTACAGATGAATGAGATCCTATTGGTACCAAAAGACATAACTCACAGTTCAATAAAAAATGAAGAAGTAGCAATTTACAGGAAAATTCGAATTAGAGTTAATAAAGGTCCATGAGAATAAGCATGCTTTGCACAGAAAGACTAAACTTCCTTTTCGGAACTCGTTGCAACACTCCAAGTAAGATCCATTCTTAATGATCAACTTGAGCATTCCTTCTGGGCTGAAGCCCATGTGGATTGGCTAGGCCGTCATGGAAGCATGGCGTTGATGCCATTTGTGACAACCTAGCTTGCTCCCCGTGGGCCAAGATCCTGAAAGAGTGCTCGAGGTGGTGATCGTTTGGAGTAAGATCTTATTTGGAGAGTTGCATTGGAGTTTTTGAATATGTATCACTAGCGCAAGCATAGCGTGTCAGCATGCTGCAGCCAAGATATAGATTACCTTGTGTAGTCATATGCCCAGAATACGTAAAGCAGAGTTTTGGTACAATGAAAGCTCCAAAAAATCCTGCAGTAATGAGCAATGCAAAGTGTAAGTAAGACAAGGAAATTGCATAAATATTTCGATGATTTTTCTTCCATTTGGCTGCATCTCAGATACAGAGAATCAGAGTAACCTGTGAACATTCAGCATTAAACAAGTAAATGCTTCGGTGAGCAAATGCTTTGAAGTTGTTATCGAGTCTTTTGAGGGTAAATATTGCATGGTATTATGCTCCCTTAACTTCCCATTCTTTTAAAAGGTAGCCAAAAAACATTCTTTTCACAGGCAGTGTCAAATCAATAACATGGGCTGAAAATCACCGTAAATTCTGCAACTAGACACTTGTATGCACACCAACAGAGCCAGTGATTATCCTTCTTACAATTGAAGGCGCTACATTAAAATCCTGAAATCCTCTTACTAACAAATCTAATGAAAACTTACCAAGTTTGACCATCATCCCTCCAGTGATATAGCTTCCGCATTTGGCCACAACATAAAGCAGGACTGCCAACTGCAATTTTCACCACTCGTTAGCTTCCGCACTTAGAAGAAGTCGCTAGTTAACAAGCAAAACCACCTCACCTTCATCGTAGTCGATGGGTCTCCAGAGAGAACAGCTCGGAGCATGAACAGGAATTTGTTATAGCAAGGAAGCACCAACTTCACTAACCGCATTGCCTCTTCCTCTTCACACTCACATCTCATAGCGGCTACATCCACATAACCCCTAAAAGCAAACAGATGCGACACCAGCACTAAGTTAGGAGAACAACTAACTCGGCGACATCGTCTCTTGCATTTCTATTGTAACTGTATTACCTGCTAGTGACGGATTTGTACACGAAAATCGCAGCAAGAATGATGAGACTCAGATAAGAAACCAGAGAAATGAAGCTGGAGAAGCAGAAAAGAAACAAGTTCTCAAACTCAATTCTCATCTGAAACAGAGCAACAACCCAAATAAGCCAATTTCACATTCTTTACCCGCAATCGAGATGCTTAGCATAGGAGGATGATATTATCAGTAGTGTTCCAATTGCAAAGGCTAATGCTGACTTATGCGCATTTTTCCACATCACCAAATCCACTGAAAAAAAGAACACAAAATTTTTTAAGCCTAAATTAAGTTACAGAGTCCAAACAAAATGTAGTTCATGGAGGAACCAGAAAGCGAGAATCACCCAAAATTTGCCATCCCTCCTGCGTCTCTCTGGAACGTCGGTTTTCATCCGATACTGTAACAAAGAACATAAAACCGTGACGGAAGGACACGTGATAAAAGTGTCAACCAACTAGAACACATGAATGCAAAACTTACATGTGTTATGCTTGGCAAAATTTTGATGAATAGTAGAGTATTTTGTGGCAGCCGGCGACTCTTCAGTTGCCCACAAAGATGTGGGCTTACTTGGAGGAGTATAAGCAGTACTTCTCTGCACTCCATTACGGTTCAACATAGAAGGTCGTTTCACAGCATCAAAACAAATTGGTTTGTGCTTTTCGCTGAAATGATTATCTACTTTCTCTCCACTTGCCACTTTTTTGGATCTCTGCTCTGATGTGTGAATTTTCTCGATGTCAAATCTCTGTTTTTCAACCTTAGTCTCAGCTTTCTCATCAATGCAATGAGCCTCCAATCCCTCATCATCGAAAAATTCTTCATCCCCATCATCGTTACCATGATTACCATGAAGGTCATAATCATGGAATAGTACCTTTGGAGCAGCCTTGACCTGACCCACATCGCTCATAGTGCTTGAAATGATTCTCTCTTGACAAACCCCAACCTCCTTGCAATTTTCCTCGGATCCCCCGCGACCAGACTGACATAAATCCTTCGAAGGCTCCAAATTTTTCTTCCTCAGATCAGCTGAAACAACCTTTTCAGAACCGAGAACAGATTCACTCACCTTCTTTGCCTCCGGCCTTGATTTTATCTCCTGAGAAATTCCAAGCTCTCTCTTTTCCTTCACACCCAGATTTGGACTCTTCCTTTTCTTGATTCCATCACCCGAAAAACTCATTTCCTTGACATGCTCATCAAGACTGTTGCTCGACTCATTGACCTCCCTTGCAATCTGAATCGGGCCATCAATGCTCTCTGATTTCCATGTCCTTCTCTTCCCCGCAACCTCACTTTTTCTCAATGTGACTGAACTAGGAGCGGTGGGCACATCACTAGCAGTGCCATTATCATCATCTTCGACCACACCAAAGACTCTGATCCCACCTTTCACTTCATCTGACCTCATCCTCCTCTCCCAAACTGATCCTGCCACCACCCCATTTCTCACCCCACTCCTCCTCTTACTCGTATCCATCACTATCCGCACGACTCTCTATCTCAATCCTCACAATTCTGCAAGATAAACCGAGAAAAAAAGCTTCCCTTTTGCTTCGTCTCTGTTTCTGTTTCTTGGTGAGCAAATGAGCAGCGTTAGGGAGGTTTCAGCAGGAGCAAGGCAACAAAGGATTTCGGTGGGATCTGATACGACCCATGTACCAAAGAGAAATATCAGGGGAGGCACGTCACACGAGGCAATCAGAACACGGAAGCCTATCATCATTCACGTGCCATTGTTTATGGTCGGAGAGAGAGAGAGAGAGAGAGAGACATGGCGCTTTGCTTTGCTTGGTCGGCTCTAATTTCGTGTGGGTGTGAGACAAAACAAGAAAAAGAACCGAGGGAAAAGAAAAGAAAAGAAAAACAAAAGGGAGATGTGGGTACAAGCGTGGCGGTGGCGATTAACCAGAAGCCATGTACAGGAAGCTGCCAAGAAACTAAAATGGTACAGTAGATCTTCTTCTGGAGATTCCCCAGGAAGAAATTTCTGTGAAGGAAGAAATTAGAGAGAGAAAAATTTATTAATTGAGGAAGAGAAATGGACGCACAGCAGGACAATGTGGAAAGTTTCCAATGCATCAGAGCGAGGTAAGACTGGTCCCATTTGGCCTACCAAATCAACAGAGATGACTTTCGAAAAAAAAATCAATAACATAAACAGTTTTGAACTTTTATTTAGTACGTAACGTGGTGCCTGAACTTTTCATTTGCTCAATATAATCCCTAAACTATAGCCTAATGTTCAATGTGTGATATCTGAACTTTTGGTACATGTTCAATGTAGTGCTTGAACTATATGAAAATGTTTAACAAGAATTATATTAGCATTTTCATATAGTTCAGGGACTATATTGAACATGTACTGAAAGTCCATGGAATACATTGCACAATGAGTTAAAGTTCAGGGATCACTTCGCGTATTAGCCCAAATTTCCCAAACAAAAAACAGAGATGACTGTTTCTTCTTTTACTTTTCAAGTTCCTTCCCTTTTCTTCTGCTTTGATTTTGGGTTCTTCCGTTTTGCCATATTTTCTCTTTTCAGCATTCTAAATCTGGAGTCTCGCCCTGTTCGGAAAGAGATGCAAAAGCTATAAGATAATGTGAAGAGAACACTTTCAATCATCAACTTGTTAATTTTTAACCTCTTTTTTTACTGATTAGAAGATGAAAATCTCGAGGAACACTAACTACAATAAACAATTTACAGAGTGATTTGTTTAAGGATTGTGGAAATGTGGCGTGCAAATCAATTTATGATTGCAGACTTACTTAACATTGGTGCAAAAGAATTAAACTTTAGCCTCGCTGATCAGCAACTATGCTTAAATTAATATACAAAATTAATACACTGAGTAAACCATTTAAAAGTTCCGTTTGTTTCGCTAAAAATTAATGATTTGGAAAACATTTTCCTAAAACTAATTATTTGTATCGCTTACAAAAATGAATAAATGAAAAATATTTTCATCGTCCATGAAAATGTTTAGACATAAATTGTTATTGATAATGAAAACATTTTTCGCTGACCGACTATTTTGAGCGATATAGACAATCGTTTTTAAGAAAATGTTTCACAAATCATTCATTTTCCGCGAAACAAATGTAGGCTAAGTGTTGTTCCAACTCAGAGTCACCATGTGACTGCACATCAAGTAAATTCTGAACAATCCCCCCAATTCTAACTTTTCCAACCCATCTTTGATTAATCAGAGAAAGTGGAATCAATCTAGTGCACGAAAGCTGATGTAAAGTACCACCTCACTGCTATAATAAAAAGGGGGCAAGACAAAGAGAATTGCACTGCTTTGAAATCAAAGTGAGGCAGACCTTGCAATGGTTGAGATGTAAGTTCTTAACCACCTTTGACAGCACCTAATTGATCAATCAAACGGGGGTAGTCAACAGAATTTGATAAGTTGTATATGAAATAAAGATTCCTTGTGCTTTTAATAGCTCCTCTACAGGTCATGCCAATGCAAAAAGGGTGGGTGTGCACTTATTCTTTTATCAGGAAAGCAACATGTTACAAAACCATATGATGGTCCAACATAAGTCTTTGTCTAATGGTAGGTTCCCACCAACATCAAATTCCAGATGCTGATTTGTATGCCTTTTTTCCATATGGTTAATGGCAGGCAGATGCCATAGCTGGAAAGTATTGTGAGGTTAGCACCTTACTTTAGTTTCATATTATATACTAACCTCTTTTTTTTGTCCTCCATGCTGGTAATAATCATGGCGTTGTACAAGAGCAATGGCAAACACAAAGATCTACCTAGAGGAAAAGGGTGAGGTGAAGAATACTTACAGTACCTCACTCAAGGGTGAGAGCATAGGATGTTTCATATGAAATTTCATTTATTATGGTATTTACATGATGAAAACTGCACGAGTTGATAGATGGCCCCGGAGCCGGCCTCCGCTAACCCTCGATACATCGGTAATGGCACAAAGTTAAATATATATAATTAACGAGTTAACGATTTGCAAACTTCAGCAGAAATGGAGAGAAAAAAAAATGGTTTAACAGGTTCATATCATAATATATGTTTTCACTCCACATATTTAAATTGATGAGATCCTACAAGAGGCAATATATATGATTAATATGAGCGAAGGATTTGCAATTTTCACGAAAAAATGGAGGGGGAAAAAACCTCAAATCATCCCAACTAAGGCACTTCTATTACCACTCCTAGATAGGAAATTTTCCTCTCTCCTGATGCAACACTGCTTGTTCATTCGTTTCTTGCGAGAACCCTAGTCATGAGACGGGGGACCTCGCGCTGATCTGCGATATTGAACGACCACGACTCAATTTTTTTCCTTTTTTTTCTTTTTCTTTTTCCCACATAAAAGATATCCTATTCAAATATATCTCACTCTCTACTTGGAATTATTTTATTCGAATTATATCCGAGTTATATATAGACAATCCGGGATTTTGCATTAGGCAAACACCAGATAGGATGTAAGTTATCATATCTGCAGTTACATATGGTCTACCGTACGTAGCCTAGAGCAACGCAGACATTTTCAAGAAAATGGATTGGGCTGGCTTTTCCTTAAGCGTGATAGCCCATTGGGCCTCGAAAGCAAACTTTTTTTCATCAAGTATGTGGCTATGCTTTGCGACCGAGCTCGGCCCATATGCTCTTGCTTGGTTTTCCTGCCAATTTTCTTCTCTCTTTTTGTTTTGCATGGCTTGATCTCCTCCATGAATTATTGTCTCTCATGCTCAGATTATCTGCAATTTTGCGTCTCTCGTGTGGGGCAGCATTTCATTCGAGTTTGATCACGCTTCGAACCTAGTTCTCGTCAAAAGGGTTGGTGCTTGAAGCTCAATTTCTTCACTTGATTTTGGCGTTGGGTTGGGACTTTCAGATAGCCATCATCCCGTTTAACTCGCCATTCCCAGCCGCATTTGTTGCCTTGCCTCTTAGTGCTTAAAGAGTGGCAAATTACGCAATTGAGTGCTTGAGCGTCCTGCCACACCACATCCAAGATTTGAAGTTTGTTTGTGTGGCATGGTGCATCAGGGAGTGCAAATTAAGCTCTTGTTGCCTCAATTTCACAGCCCAGTTCTTCAATGTAGTACAAGTCGAGCTGAGGATTGCTGACATGAGAAAAAAGACTTAAGTTTTGAGATGTGGCCATATTTTTCTGCAAGTGCTCTAGTATTGAGTCTTGATCACTCATGTTGAGAATGCAATGCATTGTTGCAATGTTATTTACCTTTGTGAGGTTCATGGATGTCATCTCATATCATTCTCACGCCGTGTACCTTTGCACATATTTTCGAAGAGTGAATACTCGTATATGTGCATGTCTAAGTACTTTCCACGAGCATAAATGCAAGAGCTGTACTATCAGCTGATGATCAGATGGAGTGCCCGCCACTGACACCGAGTTGATCAGCAAACTGCTCTCAGGTAAATTTGGCTTTTAATCGAGTCTGGTTTTCCTAGTGGCTATATTCTTTCAGCTGAGTGATAATTGTAAGCTGTATGATATTCCTGGTCATCTATCAGTATCAGGAAGTTTCGAGACTTCCTCAAGCAGTGCCGATACAATACGCTGTACGAAACCTTGTGGCTGCTTGCATCCAGGAATTTGATGCACGGAAGTCTTGTACCTGGATTTTTTGCTGGCAAATCAATGGCCAAACATTCATCTATTGAGGTCAAACTGACAACTTTGGGGACAATAACAATAGCTGAACATCCATCATTTACTTCCATGGATTCGAACCTGTCTCCTCAGGTTTCGAGGACACCAATGTTCAAGAGAGGCTATAAGGGATTCCAATCTATAAAGCCTGGGCAACTTGCAAATCAACAGAACAGAAGAAACGTGTATTTCGATCATACAAACTTGTGGTCTATTTTTCCTTTCTTTGTGTTTTCCTTTAATCTGTTTTACAACTTTAACACACACACAGCAGCATGAATGCCTTGTGCACGAAACAGATGGTGAGGTTAAATTTCACTCGTTATGATGCCAATGCTAAATGACGCCAGTTGTTTGCAAATACGTCTCACGGACAGTGTTTGACAAGTGAGGCTACAGATAAATGGGCACTTCTATTGCACTCATGCTGCTCTGCTAGCTCCTGAATGGTCCTGGCCCTTTACACTTCCTAAAGAAGTGTTGCTCCATAAGGTTGGTCTTCACGTCTGGTGGGTTCTTACTTAAATCTTCCTGCCTTTTGTTTTTATCTTTCGAATTTTCATGTCAATTTGCATTTCTAACCAAGTCCTGATCACTAGAAGTACAGGTCAGAAAAGAGCAGAAAGGAAGGAAGCTTCAGGGAAGCTGACGAGACGTCTCTACTCGAGATTTTACGCAGTAAAGTAAGATTGATAATTGATACATCCGGAGGTCGAAGAAGCAGACTACCCTGTGGTTACAGAAACAAACACGCCATGCACTGCATGTGTCTTATTGGAACTGTGGCCAAAAAGCGCAAACTCCCGATATTGTTTACCAATTCAGCTACTCTCACGCCTGAGTTTACTCGTGTCTTGATTATATAATTAGCCTCGATTTGCTAGTATGCACAAAAGTTAGCCTGTTTCTGGCCAGAGAATCAGGAACTTGTCGTGCGGTGTGCCAATAAAACTCAAGCTTATAAGGCTCTTTTCAAGGTATAATTTTTCTCCTTGTCCTGGCCTACGATGATTAGAAAAGACAATTGGTAGCTGATTAACCTTCGTTTCCAGGTATATGTTTACTAATGGTTTTTAATTAAAGTTTTGACAGGTTGGAGATTTAAATGTAACCCACTTACTAAATTTCTATGGTGGATGTATAGAAAAATCTTTGTTGAGGAGAGTAGTCAACAGGTCGACTATAATATACTTTCTTTCGGCTCGTTGTGCTTGGAGATTTGCTCCCACCAATGAGTTTAAACCCCGACTACTAGGTGGCTTCTGGAATTCTGAACAAACAAAAATTAAACAAAACCAAGGAGCTTTTGAATAAAAAAAATGTCAGTCTTCTGGATGTGATCCATGTTGTAAAACGACAAAAGTGTGGATGTGTAGGCCTTAGCATTAGGAGATTTTGTGCGCAAAGCCTCATGAGAGTCTGGATGACGATGAAACAGGAATGAAGCTCTCAACCTGAAAGTTGAACCTACACCAGCAATGCCCAAGTTCTTTTTCTTTTTCCCCAGAAAACTATTCAAAGTCTGTCAAATTTCTCAACTGCTCACATGGAAGAAGATGCCCTCAAAGGAGGAAAAAGAGAGAGGGAAAACTTAACCAACTTTCAACACAAATTTGGGATCTTTAGTCTGGACACTGACAACACTGTCAAAGTAAAAGCGGAAAGAAGTAAAGAAGGGGTGTACTGGTGGACAAAAGATAAAAGAGGGTTGAATTATCCTTTATCTTTCTTTCTTGCACTTCTCTTGCATGTCTTCTGCACCGTTTTGTTAGCTCTTAGCAGGTGTTGGTACAACCACGAGAAAAGAGAGTAGCTACCTTTGCATATGCATAAGCCCAGAAATGGGCAAACAACTTTAATTCACTCTGCCAATAGGCAATGTTCTGTACAAACTCAATCCAGATATATCTGGTTATGTAGCTGTTAGGTATCAATCTCATACAAAAACTGTTAAACCCAAAAAGGAAAGGGGAAAAAAGGATCAAACTTCAAATTTATGAAGAAAATTGACTATCCTCTAACCTAGGGGGAAAAAAACTGCAAATCCTTTTCTATGATCTAGAGCAGAAGAAACTTATAATCATCACAGATGGAACCGACCCCAAAACAAAACACCACCATGACTGACTCTGTATAATGTATATCATAGAACTGATGTAGGCGGAGTCTCCCATATATCGAACACATTCTCCTCGCTATGTAATGCGAAGAGCCGATCTCCGCCGATCGAAAAATCACAAATGGAACCTCCCTGACCTCTCCGAAGCCTCGAAGTGAGAACCCAGTCAGGGCCGCTGAAAACCGAAATGCAATCACTCATGGACGAAAATAACTGCCCGTCGTGCAATGCCAATTTGGGGTAACATGGCTCATCCGACATCTTCCCGTTCATGAGCCGGCTTCTTGAGCTCCACCTCACACTCCCGGCCGCACTCCTCAAGTCCATAAATCCTAGGTCCTCATACTCGTTCACCACGCAAATCGAATTGCTCCCCTCCATCGCAATCGCATCCCTAACTCGCTTCTCGTCAAAGGTTATCGGCGCGCCAATATCCGACCAAGACCACACCATGTTCTTCTCCCTAAAGTCCAACAAACTGATGTAACAGTTATCCTTTCGAGGAAACAGCGTAGCAACTAACAAACAGTTGTACCCATTTAGCCATTGCAGCTTATCAGCATCCCCAAGCGACCAACCGGGCGATTCATAGAAGAAATCAATCTGTTTCCCTGTGATCTGGTCCCAAACACCCACACCGTACTCATTGCTCCTCCCTTTGCAGCTCGAGAAGATCTTGTAATCTGAGCTAAAGGTCAAAGCTCCAGCAGTGTAGCTCTTGATCTGATTATCATGGCTCACCTGAAACTTGTACCTCAATTCACCTGTGGACGAGCTAAACAAGCCCATCCCTCCATCCCCAGTTCCCAAACGCTCGCAAGCACTGATCACTAGGCTCTCCGAATCAATCCAACCGGCATCGTTAACCCTCTGGTAATCAAGATTGATCGGCGGGTGCTCTTCCATCATCCAATCATAAACATGTACCATGCTACCATGAGCCACGCAGCAACCGCCGTTGGGCCCCGCCCTTATCGCCGTCCCATCTCCCGGCGCTGGGCCCGTGATTGACCTCGAGAGCCGCAGCCGATTCCCATCGAATTGGCCCCACTTCGCCGCACGGACATGATCGAGAACTCCGTAAAACTGCGCTTCCCTGCACAGCAATTTCTCTGGCACAGTTGGAGGGATGTAAAGCTCTCCGGTGCGGAGAAGATCGAGGAGGACGGCAAAGCAATCCGGGTTCCTATCGATGAAGAGGTCGGAGTTCGAATTCATGGGTTGCAAGTTCCAGTTTCCATCGAAGAGCGCGCCGAAGAAGGAATTGCGGCCGGCGTTGGCGAGGGTCGTGGAGGTCGTCTCGAATGTCCTGCCGCCTACATTGAATCTTACCCTGTCTCTCTGGATACCCATCATCAGATTCCGCGGGAGAAATCCAGACGGGGGAGCTCAAAGGGGGGCGAACAAAGCAGAGAAAATTCGCAGCGGGAGACGGGAGGGGAAACGGCAAGAGAAAAAGGGGTCGAAAGATCGAGAAAGGAACAGGGGATTTCAGGGGGAAACGGTGCACCATACACCCTCAAAACGTAGCAGAAACTCAGGGAATGGGAAAACTACACAATTTGAACACAAGGAGGTACTACAATTAGCGAAGTCGCTTCTTCGAATGAATAGATCGGGACAACAGCTACGAGAAGAGACCAGATTGACTGAACAGAGACGCGTCTGAATAGACACTGCTCCTCTTTCTACAGGCCACGGCCGAGGCATGCCATGAGAGAGAGGAACAAGGAAGGACGGTGGCGGTGGCGATGGCGATGGCGATGGCGATGGCAGAGCAGAGATTGGGGGAAGAAAGCGCAGAAACTGGGATCTGGGTGTTGAAGAAGGAAGGAATTCCGGAGGTGGGTCTTATATATTTGCGGGGATTTGGGCGATGAGGAATTTGGAAAAACTGGAGCGGCCGGGATTTTCAAAAGTTTGACTCTTCTCCTTTTCTCTCTCTCTCTCTCTCTCTCTCTCTCTGTCTCTCTCTCTGTTTCGCAAAGGAGCTTGTCGGAGATTGCTGACCCCTTTTTTTTGGGCAGGTCCAATCCGGGGTTGCGCCGCGGTAGGGTCCGGTCCAAAGGGCAGAGATTCCCACCACGCCCCCAACTTCGTGTCGAGCCCCGCGCGGTTTGAATCGGATGCGTGTGGTGATCAGATGATGAATTGCCGATGGATGGATGGACTCGAGTTTGCAGAAGACGAAGGTGGGGAAGGGGAACACGACCCGGTCCCAGGCCGTGCACTAAAAGGAAGTCCGACGAGGCAAATATGCTTTGTGCGCGACCGAGATGGATAGATTATATCTTTAAAAAAAATCCCAAACCATAATATGCAAAAAATAATACTTGAATTTAAAAAAATTTAACAATTAAATAAAATTCTAGTGACAGGATTTTGACGCAAAAATAGTTTGACAAAATTGTCCGCTGCCAAAAAAAAATTGAATTTGAGCCCTTAAAGCTACCAAATATCTCAAACTATGATCGTTGTGATACAATTGTCCCAAATATTTTTTCTGTGATATCAAAAAACTTCAAATTATGTTTATCGTGGCTCATTTACGCTTTTTTTTTTTTTTTTTTTTTTTTTTTTTTTTTTTTTTTTTTTTTTTTTTTTTTTTTTTTTGGGTTTTTTTGGATAGTGATGGATGGCTCCTTCCGATGCCAAAAAAAAAAAAAAGTTGATATTACGAAATAATTACATTAATGTGATATCCACGGGAAACTTGGAGATGTGGTCGAAAGTTATAGATTTGCATTTGAATTTGAATGCCGTTACATTAGTGTTTGTTTTAAAAATTATCGGGTTACGCGGAAATCGAGATTTTTTTTTTTTTTTGGGTCGAACGCGGAATTGAGTTTTGGAGAGACGGTTTAAAACTTTGATGCCCTCGAGGAGGACGGTTGTCCCCCACGACACCATATGATCTTTTTATTTAGTTCTTGATGACCTCTTCTTGGAGCTTTCTTTGTTTATATCTTTGCATTAGATTAGATCTGCATAGCATACGGTTCACGAGTCTGACGTGCACAAATATATATTTTTTAATCGGCATTATAATAGAATCACGGCACGAAGATAGAGGTTGAACGGTCTTTTCTTAATTAAGGTTTCGTTTATTTCGCGGAAAATGTGATGTTTTCTGGAAAATATTTTTCAATAAGTCATTTTTCAGGAAAATGATAATATTTTCCGATATTTAGCTGAAACTTGAAAATAAATTAGAAAATATTCCCCGCCGTTTGATATGGAAAATTTGATTTGATTTTCCTCCGTGCACTCATTTTAATAGTTTTTATTTTATCTTTTCTTTTCTTTTGGAAAAAACGAATTTTTAATTATTTTCTATTCTTTCTCTTTCTTCTAGGCCGGTATCTATGCGGCACGTTTACCCTCCTCCATCAAGGTCCAGTCAGGTGATTTTTCAGTAAAAACGACGTCGTTTTTATTTTACTTACGTCATGCGGGTGCCTAGCGTCCGAATTTTTAGCCATTCTCATTGACATAACTTTGGAAGATGATAAATATATCACACAAGTACAAGTTTGAGATTTTTTGTGTCGCGAAAAAAGTTTAGGGTTTGTCACACAAATACAAGTTTACGATTTTTTGTGTCGCGAAAAAAGTTTGGGGTATATATGTCACAATGGACATAGTTTAGAATTTTTTGTGGCTTTTACCCTTATCATTATGGGTTAATACCACGAAAAACCCAAAACCGGTACATCTGTGATAAATTTACCAAAAACTAATTTTCTGGTAATGAAAAATCCCAAGACTTGTATACTCGTGACAAATTTACCCTAAACTGGTATATTTGCGACAAATTTACCCTTGTTAAATTGGATTAATATCAAGAAAAATCACAAACTGGTACACTTTTGACAAACATAGGGTAAAACCCAAATCGGTACACCAGTCAATTGTCAAACGTCATCCAACTGAAAGATTTTGACGGTAAAATATAACAGAAACCAACGGAGGGTAAAATTATCGCGAGTATACCGGCTGAGGATTTTCAGTGCTCAAAAAATTAATTTGAATAAATTTATCATAAACGTAATAATTTAAAGTTTTTCGTGGTATTAATCGTTCTTGTCGTTACATAACGTGCAAAGAGGGTCATCTTTGATTGGTTCAGCGAATAGGTACAACCGGGCACATCAGCTCTGACTTAGTCTCTCCATCCTGATGATGTCCAAACGAGTGGCGCAGCCCAATCTTTCCTAATCACCTGATTAAGGATAAAAACCTCCCTAATCAGTGGTGGTTATCTACCCACCAAACATTTTACGTCCCACGGAAAGCACTAAATTCGAGATCTGGGATTAATTTTAATTTTTTTTAAAAAAATAAATAATTACGCAGATTTGACTATTCTGTGGGATTTTGGTGGTGGGGGGCTCCTGTTTTTTTTTTTCCTCCTAATTTTTCTTTTTTCCAATGGGAAGAAGGGGGCAAGACTTTTGGGTTGGTTCTTCTTCTTCTTCCCCGGTTGGTCGATTGCGGGTCGTGGACGGCAAAATCATTGAATTACATTTGGGGGATTGTAAATTAAATTCTATTTTTCGACACGTCTTATTCTTACATAGTTGGTCTTCTGTTTTTTTTATTTTTTTATTTTTTTTGGGTGGATAGGTATGAATTTCAAGAAACATTTTAATTGGCGATGGCGGGCTTTTATTAATTTATTATTATTATTATTATTATTATTATTAACCATGGGGATAAGCGAATGCATGCATGGTGGGCCATTTGACTCTGCATCTTCTTATCTCCTTGCCATGACCACCAGCACCTTCTTCTTTTTTCCCTGTTTTTTTCTTTTGCTTTTATTCTTCTTTTGCTTTTCTTCTCTTTTCCCCTAATTTTAACGCGGAAAGATGTCTTCCATTTCAATGTCCTCATCAAATATGCAAGAATGGAATCGTGCTCTTTGCAGCACGTTCGAATAGCTTTTCTTTTAGCCAAAAAAAAAAAAAAAAAGCGAATATAAGCCGTGTTCGGCATTGGTTTTGTTTTTTTCGTTTGCATGATTTGTCTCGATTTAACGAGGGCTTAGCACCAGCCGATAGCTTTTTCAATTCCAATGCGGTTCATTCTTCGTAAGATCCGTTCGATCCAAGGACAATAGCGAGATGCCGTGCACATGTCGCGACCGCGAGTATACTCTTTCAAGTTTGGTGATGGAGAGACTCGTGAATGGGGATGGTTGCCAATTTGGGTGAGGTAATCTTCTAGAACTGAAAAGGCTAAAATCATCATTGTCATCAATTTTTTTGGAGTCCCCATCGTGAAATTGGGAGCTTTAACTTAAACGCAAAGAGAGGCCTCCCTCAATCATTGTCAGCCTTAACAAATTTCAATCATCATTTCATGGTGTGGACTGTGGAGTGCGCGGGTCAAATTGGCTGTATCGGTCATGTTGGCTCTGTGTTAGGTGGGACTTAAAATGACCGTGCCACTTGTCTGGTCCTTTCTGTTTAGTACTAACTAGACCGAGTCAATTCATTACTGTCCTTTTGCTTTTTTGGTTTTGTAAATAGGCATGGTCTTCCTTAGTCTCACTTTTCATTTGGTTCCATTTGGTAGATAAGAGCCTCATGAATTTGAGCTATTTGGTGTACCCAACATTGGCAAAGAGGAAGGTGTACCAAACAACACCCGCGAATTTAGATGAACCTAAGACGAATTTAGATGAAGGTAAGGGTATTTTTATTTCGCGAAAAATGAATGATTTGAAAAATATTTTTCGGAGAAACGATCCCTTGTATCACTTACAAATATAGAATGAACAAAAATATTTTCGTTGTTCATGAAAATATTTAAATATAAATTGTTGTCAATAATGATAACATTTTTCATCGATTAATTATTTCAGGCGATACTATCGAGCATTTTTAGACAAATATTTTTTAAATCATTCATTTTCCGCGAAATAAATGAAACTTAAAATACAAAATAACAAATGTATTTTTTTCCTCGGTTTTCCAATACATTTTTACCTCGAGAATCATCTGTCGGCATTTTCGTTGCTCGCACTTTGCATTTTTCTAGTTTCTAAAGTCGGATCAAGCGCTCTCAATCATTCTCATTGCCTACTCTAAATCGATGCGAGATTGCATGTATCTCGCCCGAGTTATTGAAAAAGGTAATTGGCTAGGATGCGACCATCAACGAATGACCTAACCTATATAGTTCCTAGTTGACTCGCGGCGAAAAAGTCAAGGCAATCGAGGGTGGTAAAGCTCAGGTTTTGGAAGCTAAAGAATGCTGCGTCCAAGATTTTCTTGAAAACCCCATGTTGCGAAATTATAGGATTTGAAGACAAAAGGGTTTGATGTTGAATAAGGCCCTTAGTCATCCTCAGCCCAATGGCAAACATCTAACATGGGCTTTGAGTGAGGCAAGCAACGTTGGGCCCATTGTCTATTTTGTCGTCCACATTGGCCCAATTGTCTTTGGGAAGGCAACAACGTGGGCTTTCTCTTAGCATAGTTTACAAGCCCATGACAAGATATTCTAAAATCTGAACGATAGTACAATTATGAAAGTTAAAAGGATTAAAATGAACAAATCAAAAGTTTAGAAATTAGATCGAATATTTAGGAATAGGTCAGAGACTATATTGGACGAATCAAAGGTTCAAGGATGACATTACACGTCGGGCAAAAATAGGGACTGTTTTGTCGAAAAAAATGGGATAACGACATAAATAATTCACGAACTTTGGGTCAATGTGCAATGTGGTCCTTGAACTTTAAATTTGTTCAATGTGATTCCTAAACTTTAGCTCGATGTATAATGTTGGACCGGCCCAGAATCGGCGATTCCAGTGGGGATCAGTCCGATTCTCGGTTCAAATTTACTAGAACTGGCGAGTACTGGTCCGGTTCCCTATTCTAGGCGTGGAACCATCCACCCGAACTGAACTGGACCGGTAATACATATAATTTTTAAGAAAAATTTTCAATAAAAAATAAAAAAAATTAAGAAAAATAAAAATCCTAAAATCCTTGATCTGAAATTCAAAGCGCATCAATTAAGTACTCGTCTCATCTCACTCTCACATTGTCTAAGTCGTCTCTTTATCTCTCACTCATGGTCTCGACTTTCAAGTTTAACGCCCATCGACTCATGCCCTGGACTCTTAACTCCCATCAACTGGCTGCGCCTCTAGCAGTTCATTGCCTCCCTCTCTAGCTCTCGGTCACCTTCATTTGCGCGAAACTTTGTGGGATCGGTTACATGGACTCACCCGGGAATCAGACCGCCATGGATCCACTCAAGAACCGGACTGATGCGGTTAGGTTCTCGGGTGAATCCATGGAACCAACGGGCGGTTTTTAATTTTAATTTTTCGGAACCGGTCCTCCGTGAGCGGTTTTCAATTGCATGGTGGGAATTGGCCCCTATCATTTACCCAAAGAAACAAACAAATGCCTACAAAACGACATGCCGACCAAACGTTTCAAGGTCTCGCCCAGTTCCGGCACGTGGGGGTGCTCCAATGATGTTGTTGGCCATGGCCAGACGCGACGAGGTTCATTCGATCATCGAAACTGAAATGACGGAAACACCCCCGGGAGGTCTTTGGTAGGGTTTTATAAAGTCGGCCCCCTTCGGCCACTTTTTGGCTCCTCTTTCGCGGAAGCCGTAGCGAAGCTTTCTGCAAGTGCTGCCGCCGCCGCCGCCGCCGCTCGCCGCCGCACCGTCCCGTTGTCCCTCGCTTCTCCGGCCACCCATCTGGAGATATAGAGAGGGGAGAGAGAGAGATAGAGGGGGGAGAGGAAGAGGGGAGAGATTGCTCCGTCGAGAATTTTTCAAGATCAGCTTCAAGAAGCTCTGTAGCTCCGGCGATTCCGCAATGGCCGTGTCCGAGCCGGAGCACAAGGGTCTCCTCGCCCCGTTCGCGCCGTCCGGGTCCTCTTCGTCTCCGGCGTTGTTCCAGCGGAGGATCGAGTTCCATCCCGCCAGGAAGCACTTCAACGGATACGGGAGCGGCGGCGGGGACTTCAAGATCGAGACCCTGAACCCGAGCGCGCCGCAGCCGGCTGGAAAGCTCGCGGGGAGCGGCTCCGGGCAGGCCTCGGGGAAGAGGGTGGACGGGCTGGAGCTCGTGGAGGGCTGGTTGGATCCGGAGCTCAGTTTCGGAGCCTCCGTACAAAGAATTGTAAGGAACGCCAGTTCGATGCTTGTGGCGTGTGGCTGAACTTTTTAGTGATTTCCGTGTTCTTTGTTTTGATCAGGGGATCCTTCTGTGCTTTTGTGACTTGTGACTGGGGCAATTTGATATTAGTTCGTTGGAAATTTTGCCTTTTCCGCTTGAAATAGCGATTTGCCCAAGTCTTTGGACGCCTTAGCTTCCTATAGCCACTCTCCAGTTGTCTAACGATGAGGTTGGTATGGATTGCTTGCAGGGTGCTGGCTTGGAAAATCTGGGAAACACTTGTTTCCTTAATTCCGTATTGCAGTGTCTAACGTACACCGAGCCCTTGGCAGCTTACTTGCAAAGTGGGAAGCATCAAAACTCTTGTGAGTAAATGTCATCTCGACTTGCCCAAGTCTGTTTCTTTCCGAGGCATTAACATGTTTTAATTTGTTCTTCATTGTTCACTGGACTATAACTATATATGATAGGTCGATAAGCGTTTATTCTTGCTATGACATGGGGTTCCTCGGAGGTTTTAGTTCTATCTTGTTCTTTACCTTTATGGGTTTTTATGGCGAGAACCCTTTCGGTGACATTTCCAACATTTCGTGTAAAATTTAGCTGCCCATTTGGATAAAGAGTGTGATTGTCATTTTGGTTGTAAGGTGCTTTTGCTTTTCTACAATGAGCTCTTATTAGATAGGTGAACCATTGGCATCTCAAATCTTCTCTTAGTTCCTTCCTACCAGAAGCACTAATAATGCGTACGGTTGAATAATTGAGATCCAAAGAAGCTTATTCCAACTGTTTCCAGCTGAAGTTTCATCATCCTATTGGATATTTGAACCAAGATTCATTTGGATAAAGCTGCAGCAAGTTAACAATGTAGCTGCAAGAAGTTAACGGACCTCTTTAAGTTTTTTTGTGAAGATTAGCTATTTGGAAGTGAAGTCTGAACATTCTTAGGTGGTTACTGATTGATGAATTTCTCTGATGCAACCGTCATTACAAAGAAGGTGAATTTAAAATGGATCCAGACAAGCCAAAAAATCCATGGTATTAGGTTGTTCCCTTGAGAACTTCCATATCTGGTGACGGCTTGACTGCACTTTATGTCCATAATCAATATTATTTTTTCTGAGTAATAGCAGAAGTAATGATTTTGAGATTTAGTCATTTTTTGCCACGCGGTAAGTTGAGATGCCATGCTAAAATTCCAGGTCAAAGGTTTGTATCAGTGAGAACAGTATTATGTAGATTGAGCTGATGATATTTCTGTTCAACAGAAGGCAGCTAGTCTATGTCATCTATATTTGATGACTAAAAATTGTGAAATTTTGATAACTCTTCTTCAAGTAAATCTAATAGATATTTCGAGGTACAAGTACTATTTTCTGGTTTACTTTCTTAAGAGTACCGAGACATTAGTGACTTATCTGCATTTATTTTCTCTTGGCATGGATAAATCTAACATGTGGCAGCTCTCATACGAAAGTGATATAATACTGCCTTCTGTTGTCTAATTCTTTCTTCCTTCTTTGTTTTTCTGTTCATCTGTGAAGGTCGGATAAATGGTTTTTGTGCCTTATGTGCTATTCAGAAACATGTCAGTCGTGCTTTGAAATCAACTGGTAGAATTTTGGCGCCGAAGGATCTCGTCTCGAACTTGCGGTGTATCCTTGTATAGAACTTTTCTGGAATCCCTTCTATCATTTAGCACAATTCAGTTTGTAATCATGTTCGGTTTCTGTTTGTGGATTATGTTCATTTTGTGATCAGCTGGCACAAAAAAGCCCTTATCATGATTTTTGTCCTTTCAAAATAAAAAAAAATAGAGGGGAGGAGTGTTAACATATATTCTGTTCAAGTCAAATTACAAATTTATTTTGTGTACAAGTACTTTCTGGAACTCGTTGTCCTTGACACATAATTAGGCATATCTCGGAATTTCCGAAATGCTAGACAAGAGGATGCACATGAATACATGGTGAACTTATTGGAATCTATGCATAAATGCTGCTTACCTTCTGGAGTGCCAACCGAATCACCCAGTGCGTACGATAAGAGTTTGGTGCACAAAATTTTTGGCGGTCGTCTACGAAGTCAGGTATGCTTTCTGAGCTCATGGTGGCTTTCTGTTTTTCAGTTAATGAGCTTGAATCTTTTGGCCTCATTTTTGTGCACATATATTGAAGCTTAGAGTGAGTACTGTTAGTAATGTTGAAGAGAGCTGATATATGGAAGGTCCTTCTGTCATTGTTTATCTCTCCGCTGTCAATTTTTCAGGTGAAATGCATGCAGTGTTCCTACTGTTCCAACACTTTTGATCCATTCCTGGATTTAAGTCTTGAAATTGCCAAGGCAGATTCTGTGGGGAAAGCTCTTAAACATTTTACGGCAGCAGAGCAACTAGATGGAGGGGAGAGGCAGTACCAGTGTCAACGGTGCAAGCAGAAAGTCAGGGCTCTTAAGCAGCTTACAGTTCACAAGGCTCCTTATGTTCTAACCATTCATCTTAAGCGGTTTCATGATCCTACACAAAAGATCAACAAGAGTGTCCAATTTGATACTGCGCTAGATTTGAAACCTTTTGTCAGTGGTTCCTATGTAAGTATAATATCCAAAGTAGGCAATCTGGTCTCTCTGTTATAGTTATTTTAGCTTTTGCTATTGACTACTATTGTCACCGAGCTTGTGTTGTCTTAAGACAAGATGACTTTGATAATCTATAGGGGATTTCTGAGGATTATGCTGGAAGACCTTACTGGTTTTTAGTTTTAACAATTCTCAATGTTATTCTTGCCTTTTTGTAATCTTCTAAAAGCAACTACTGATTTCCTGTTAGGAGAATTAATTTTTTTCTGTTGGTTTATTGGCTTTTTGTGTGATCTGTTTTGTGTCGTCGGTTTAAGTGCAACTGCAGATGGGCTTCTCTAATTCCCTTTGGCCACATACTTTCCAGGAAGGAGATTTGAAGTACACTCTTTATGGGGTTTTAGTCCATCATGGCTGGAGCACCCATTCTGGCCATTATTATTGCTATGTCCGCACGTCTACTAATATGTGGTACTCCCTTGACGACAATCAGGTACCTAGAGTGGAACTTTTTACCTTGTACTCTTAAATTATGTGATCATTGGCTGGCCAGTTTGTTGTGCTTGCTCAAGCCTGATGATCCGAAAAGCAATGTGGGTACGTTTTGGCAAGGAGCTGTAGTTAGAAAGCCTGGCTTTAAATCAGCCTGCTCAGGCGAAGAACGGCTAAAAAATACTGTGCACTTTTGTGGGGATGGGCAGGTTTGGCAACATGTTGTTTAAACCTTCGAGCCTGTGGCGCGTGCCCACCTAATAATGGTCACCTTTCCTAATAATCATGTTGTAGTCTTGCTGATATAGATGGTGCCATTAAGAAAATGAGCAAAATTTGTTTCTTATGTTTTAGTAGAAGGAAGTCCTTAGCATGTATCCTTATTTGTTGGCCATGCGACATTTATTTGTGTTATGCGTGAAGTATTTGATGCCTTAAAATGAACCTGTATATGTTTTCTCTTAAACTCTACATACGATCTTAAGTTTTGGTATAATAATTAATTGGGATAAGTGCATTTGAGGTTCTAAAACTTGTCACGAAAGTGTAATTGAGTCCAAAAACTTATAAAAAGTACAATGAAGTCCTAAAACTTATCAAATTGGTGCAATTGAGTCCTTCCGTTAATTTCATTTATCTTGACTAATGGAAAACACTGGCTTGGTTTTTTTTTATTCTCTCTCCTACGTGGCTAAACATGAAGGATTAGGCTAAAACGTCATTTTGATCCAAATATAATTTTTTAACGTAAATCTTAATTAAATTAGATAAAAATAACTTTTTTAAAAAACACAAAAAAGAAAAAAGGCGCTCCACCATTGCCGGAAAGCATTGGTGGGGACTCGGTGAGGGCTGGCGACCCTTGTCGACCCCTGCCGAGCCCCCACCGAGCCCCACCGATGCTTTCCAACGACGGTGGGGCGGCGGCGAGGGCCCTTGCCCTTGCCCTTGCCTTTTTTTGTGTTTTTTTCAAATTTATATTTTTATATTTTTATATTTTATTTAATTAATAATTTTTGGTTAAAAATAAGGATTTAGGCCAAAATGATGTCGTTTTAGTCTTATATTTCATGTTTTAGCAAGGTCAATGCCATGTAGGAGAGAGAAATTTTTTAAAAAAATTCACGTAGGTAGAGAAAATAATAAAAAAAAAGCCACGTCAACATTTTCCGTCTGTCTAATTAGACAGAGTTAACGGAAGGATTCGATTGTACCAATTTGACAAATTTTATTTCTGGGGATGACATTTCTCTCTATTCTTTTTATTTGTGGACAAGTGTGCAGTCTGTCTACACTGCTGACTAGGATGTATTGTCCTTGGGATACTGATGATGCAGGTTCACCAAGTGAGTGAGTCAAAGGTTTTGCAGCAGAAGGCCTATATGTTGTTTTATGTCCGAAATAGAAACAATACAACAGCAAGAAAACTGGCTGCTGTTGCTCACAAGGATGTGAAAGAGAATGTCGGTGGACCTGGGGCGCCTTTCATTTCCAGCCAAAGCCCAAAAGGACCTGTAAAATTAGATCAGATGAAGAGTGGCATCAATTCAGCAACCTCTCCTACCACCCTTATTGCGAAAGATGCAGTAAATATTAGTTCATCAAATAAGATCAGTATGAAGGAATCATCAGTCAAGGAAAACCTTGGTCCAGCGCAGGCAGAATTTCAAGTTAAGAACAACTCCATTTTGGCTTCTGTTGTGAAGGATTCATCATCAAAGGTTTCTGTGGAAGGACTTGCTCTTGCAAAAGAAAATTTGGCATCTGTTAGCCCTACGGGCATTAGTTCAAATGATAATTTGGAGAATGCTCCTCTCTCTGCACCTGTTCATGAAATTTCTCGGCGCAATGATGGAAATTCCAAGAAAGATTTGACAGTATCAATTCCTGAATTTCCTGCCAGCACAACTTCCTTGAAAGCTGCCGCTAAGAAGCTTCTCAAGGATGAATTATCTCAAAAGGTAAGAACATTTCTTAGCTCCAATATTATCTTCCTGGCAGTTTGAGTGGATTGCAAGAGGTTGCGATGTTTCTTAATGTCTCTGAATATTGTTATGCCCAGATAAATGCTGTCTCAAGTCTTGGTGGTACGACTGCAAATTCATGCAATGATTCTGCTGACAAGTCTTTTGAGGAAGTTGGACCTGAAAGATCACCAGAGAAATCAATTTGCAATAGAAGCCGGAACATTCCTTGTGAAAGTATTGCCGTTGCAGTGAGTGAGAAGACTGATAAAACTGGCCAAGGATTTAAATCTGATGTGGCTGTTAACTTTTCTGTCGCATCCACCACATCAAATGTATTGTCACGTGTGGAAACACTTGATGGCAAGCCGCGTAAAAAATTTAGAAAGCATCTAAAGTATCAGTTCGCAAGCCTTCATTTAGGCTCGAACATACTTTTGCGCGCATCACTCCGTCCACGTAAGAAGCACAAGAAGAACAAGCATCACAGGTTAGTTGCGAAGAATTATAATGGAAAACAGCTGAATAGAGATCTTATTGCTTTGGATTTTGGACCATCAACGTCAGAAACAACAGAGGTCGTTTCTGTTTCTTCAAAGAGGAGAGGGTCTAAATCGTGTTCCAAGAAAAGAGTCGGTGACACTTGTTCAAGGATGACCACGAGTTGTAATGGCGACTCCTTGGTGGGTGCCATGGATGGTGCATTTAGAGATAGGACAACTCAAAGTGATGCTGTTCTTGCAACCGATTCTTCGTTGAAAATGAGCATAAGCTCTCAGTCGTCAGTAAACTTGGGTAAAAGTAGAGAGTATGAGAGTCTAGAAGACTCTAAGAGGGACACAATGCAGAACGGTTTGATGAGCATGCTTACGCGAGGATTGGAAGAGACATTAGGTGAGTAAAGGAATTTTTGGTCCTCGTGATAATGTGAGGTTGATTGCAAACTGGGCTGCTTTTGATGTGGTTTTTTTTTTGGTCAGATGCTTTTGATGTTTTAATTGGCTCATGTTTGTTGCATTAATGCTTTTGATGCCTGCAGCAGCTGCTTTCTTTGGCATTTTTCTGTTGATGATGTCCTTAGGATAATACACTTGAGCTACCATATACTTAAGCAAGTAAAATGATCCCAATTCATTCTTTTATGAAATAGATCAAGTCTGTTATTCCTTTAAGTATTGCGGAAGACTTATGACAGTTTGCCTTCTTTTGTGTGTCTGTAGATTGTGTAAGGTTAACTTGTATTTTGAAAGTTCAGTAAAGATTTAGTCTAAACGAGAGCATTTCCCCTGTTTTCCATGCTTTAGTCAATGATGGCATATGAGTTTTATTGTGCTCTAGAAACCAAATTATAATTATCCTGTTTGTAAAAACTTTCTCCATGTCAGTACCAGATTTACTGGCATTCTTCCTGTAACATCCTTTTGCAGTGGGTACTTCATTGGGTTTTATCTGTCTGAAAAATCTTGATGACAGTCATTATTCATTTCTATTTATGATTCTTTTTTGACTTGCAACTTGTACTGGTTGCGAATTTTACTTGAGTTGGTGCTTCCCAATTATTCTGTTGAATTAGTACTCTCTATTTACCTTTTTCTTTCCTTTTGATTGCAGTTGCACATTGGGACGGGATAGAGTTTTCTCCCTCTCCGACCACGGAATCAAATGGTGCAGAGAACACCAGCATTGGTTATGTGCTGGATGAATGGTAAGCTGAAGTATTGTTAGTCATATATCTGCAGAATCATGTCCTATCTGTTATGAACTTCAATTGAAGATATCATTGGCGAAAAAAGGTGAATAGGTACTTGTATCGTATGGTTAGATGGTTGAGGGGTAGTGTCGACGTTGCAAATCATGAAAGGGTTAAATCTCAGTTCTCTCGTTCTAATTAATAAACTTTTCTGATGGTACTGTGGTTGATGCTTGTAGACATGAATAATAAATTGTTGAATTTTGAGTTTATTTTTAGGTATTTTACCTGCTGTGGATGTAATTGTGGTCTGATTAGGAAATCCTGTTTCTTGTTAATACTGTGATGATCAAAATCTGTTGATCAAAATCTGTTGAGTGGTAAGAACAAAATAAACGGTAATATAGGAAAAGATAAGCGTGGGCACGCTGTAATTTCTTTGGATAGTCAGGTGAAAGGCAGCAAAAGAGCATGTATTATGTTGGTTTACTTAGTTGGTAGAGATCTGTTTCTTTACAGTTGATTGGTAGCTCTTGCTTTTTATTTTTAAGCACATATCCTGTACAATTTACAATAATTTACGTTCATATTGCAGGGATGAAGAATATGATCGGGGAAAGAGGAGAAAGGTGAGGCAAGCCAAGTTTGATTTTGGTGGCCCAAATTATTTCCAGAAAATCGCATCGGAGAAAATAAATTTGAAGAAGACAAAACTTGATAAGGCTAGCTCTGGGAGTTTGCCATTCAGGATATAAGGTGATCCTATGGCAGACTTCAAGCTCAGTCTGCTGATTTTGATCGTCCGATTGATAAAGTCGCATTACTTGATTCTTGCCCAGTGTTGTATGAGTAAAGTCTCCTGCTTCTGGCGTCTAGGTACGAGGCTCTGTGAGATTGACCATTATGACAATTTCTCTGTTTCTTGGAGATTTTGTTTGTTCCTTTGAGAGGTGTCTTGGTGGATCGAGCACTGGGGAATATTTCTCTCAGTTCTAGCTTTTTTGTCTGTGAAATGTATTTAGCTGTGTGTTCGTGTATTAGCTAGCTATGTAATAAACCTTTGAAAGGGAAGATTCTTTGAACAGCTGACAATGTTGTAGCCCAGTATTTGTTTTTTTTTTTTTTGGTAAGGTAAGATGTATATTGACTTTTCAAAGTGTAACCTACATATGATGTAACCGAAACACAAAAATCTCGTACCTGAAACGACACCCAAGGTGTCTAAACAGGTGCAAAGGTGTAACGGATAGTGAGCTCAAAAGCATCAAACGCAAAATACAGCAGGGCCAAAAAACGACCAACCGACTACAAAAGAGAGCCAACAACCACCGAAGAGGATTAATCAAAGATGGTAGGCGAGATGCCCCAATTGACTTGGATCCTTCTGTTGCGAGGATTATCTTCAACAGGTTTGAATGACAGATCTCTATCCCTTATGAGCTTAGCAAGATGTTGCCGTAGGGCCGGCACAGAGGGGTTGATTTCTGAAGAGGATATTGTTCCGTGTCGTCCAGATAATATGGCATAATGCTCCAAATGAGAAGCGAGCAATTCGCTGGTGGAAACTGTGGCCGCCTATGAAACTGATGGCCCATTGGAGATTATCTTGCCATGACTGGTTTCTCTAAGAAAGATTACATTTATGACACCCAAAAAACAGATTATCAACAAAATCGGGTCTACATTTACAAAATGCACAAACACCTTCCGATATTCTGCGATAATTAAGCAAAACGACCTGTGTCGGGAGCCTATTCAGTGATATAAGCCACAACAAAAAGCCATACCTCGGCGCAATGCTCTGGTCCCAAACGAAGGAACACCAAGGGACAATAGGTCTGCTGATTCTGATCAGTTCCCATGCCGAGGCCACAGAGAAGATACCCGACGAGTGGCCCTTCCACAGTAATCGATCAGGTCTCTGTACATCTAGATCGGGGATAGCATCCGGCCAGGAGTTGAAGGTTTGAAGCATATACGAGCTATGCCAGGAATCGGAAAAGAACTCTCGAACAGAGGCCTCCCTCGGGATACCAGAGCAATAAATGTCCCTATTGGAAAAGAGATCCGAAAGAGGACCTTTGGGATGCCAAGAATCAAACCAGAATGATGTGGTTGCACCATCACCAATTTGCCATATGAAGAACATTTGAAAATCCCGGCGGATGTCGAGAATTTTTTTCCAAGCCCAAGAACAACAAGTCGGCTTGGTAGCTCAGTATTTGTTGAGTTTTTACTGCATTGTTAATTTATTAGATCACTTTCTTTGATGGTCTCCTAAACACTGATCGGTGAACTCTTGTAAATCTGGTTGTGACCGACGTTCTTCAAAATTTTCTGCATTTTATAATCAGGGTTGAGTGTTTGAGTAAGGGAATTAAGTAGGTGCTTAATTGAAGGTATCCTTCACTCATCAGAGTGAGCTGTGTTAAAGAATGGGCTATATGTTTGCTCGGTTGGGGGCTTAGCTCATTTTCTTTTGGGAAAATACTACCAAAAATCTTAAATTATGTCACTTATGATAAATTTACCCTGAACTTTTTTTTGTGACACGAAAAACTCCAAATTATGTCATTTGTGACAAATTTACCTTGAACTTTTTTTTTTTATACTAAAAACCTCGAACTATGCATATTGTGACACATTTATCCCAAACTTTCTCTTATGACACAAAAAATCCTAAACTTGTATTCGTGTGATATATTTACCCCACAACACTTTGGCCCAAGGGCATTTTTGTCATTTTCCTTTCTTCTTTCTTCCCTCTGCTGGCTATGGCGAAGGGAAGCAGGCGAGGGCAGCCCTCGCTGGCGTTGGAGTTGGGCAAGGGTGGCCCTCACCGGATCTGGCGAGGGCAACCCTCTCATGGGCAGGCGAGGGCAGCCCTTGCCCGACTCAAGCGAGGGCGGCCCTCACCTGGGTGGGCGAGGGCTCGACTCAGGCAAGGGTTGCCCTCGCCCGACTCAAGCGAGGGTCGCCCTCGCTAGATCGGGCGAGGGTTGCCCTCACTAGATCCGACGAGGGCAGCCTTGCTTGAGTCGGGCGAGGGACTCAGGTAGCCCTTGCCCACCCAGGCGAGGGCGACACTCGCCCAACACCGGCGAGGGTCGTCCTCACTAGATCCGGCGAGGGCAACCCTCGCCCAACTTCGACGCCGGCGAGGGCCGCTCTCACCGGCTTCCCTCCGCCAAGGCCGGCAGAGGGAAGAGAGAAGAAAGGAAAAAAAAAAAAACAGAAAAAGGAAAAGGACGAAAATGCCCCGGGACCAAAGTATTGTGAGGTAAATGTGTCACACGAGTACAAGTTCAGGGTTTTTTGTGTCACAAGAGAAAGTTTGGGATAAATGTGTCATAATGGGTATAGTTTGGGGTTTTTAGTGTTACAAAAAAAAGTTCAGAGTAAATTTATCACAAATGGCATAATTTAAAATTTTTCATGTCACAAAAAAAAGTTCATGGTAAGTTTGTCATAAGTGATATAATTTGAGGTTTTTGGTAGTATTTACCCTTTTCGTTTTGAACTTTGTAGTGTTGGTCTTAACTAAACTCTTCTCCAAAACAAGCCCTTTCGATACCTGTTGGAATCTTTGCAAGAAAAAACTACCGGGGCACTTTCATTATTTTCATCATGCCTAATCGCATCCTTCCACTAAATTCGCAAGTCCGAGAGACATATATACAAGTGGAATCACACTTGCGGGCGAGACCAATACATAATCACGATTATTCGCTAAACTCGTGATGAACTTGTAAGCAAGAAATCTTAACTATCTTGGATTATGAGACACATAAAAATCACCATATTGAAGAACAAACCCTAGCATTTCGCTTACAAAAGATTTGACATTATTTTGCGATTTTCATGGGATTGTGCGTGTTGAAAACGCAGACATGAAGATTGCTTGAAACTTGGGTTAAGGTTATTATCAACAAAAGCTGGACATTCTCTGGCTTAAAATAGACTAATAAGATAAAATTAATTAACCTAGCAACAATTTTTTAACAATTGAAGAAAATCTACTTACTCGGACTCGGACTGTGCAAATTCAAACTTGGGTTCCAACTGGAGGACACTGACTGATCTTTTAGCTATAGAACTAGAGAAACTCTGACCTTTCAAACCTGCGTGGAATCAATCCTCGTTTTCCAAGGTGACAGAAAAAAATTAAATAAAACATTAAACGAGGACTTAGTTATAACTTCCATAAAATTTTGTCTTTATTGCTGTTCCTCCTAGAGAACCTAATTCAAATATTTAATACAATGATCCTAGTTTATTAATAAAGGCATGGAGACTCGATTACTATTAGATTTTCTGTAATTAAACACAAAAAAAATCAATTATATTTGGCAAGAAATGTGGCTAATGATCGCGACATGGTTCTCATGTGTCTTTCGCATTCTTAAACATTTTTTTTGTCACACGTCAATGTCTCCGTGGGAAAACTACGTGCCCTAGTTCTTGTTTTCACACTTCCAAGAAGATAGATGTTTCCTGTAAAAAAATGAGAATTTATAATCTCGTACTTTGCATTGCAGGATAGTTATATATAGAGAATTATAAAAGTCTGATGGTTCTCTATTTCTAGCTAGAAAATATATCTTCCCCTGGAATATATGTAGAGATTAAGGGTATGTTTATTTGATTGAAAAAATTTTCCGCGAATTAATCTAATGGATTTCAATGTGTTTTAAAAGAATAAAGCATTGTTTTCTTTCTATACACTATCATGTTGCCTAGTAGTATGTCACTTTTGTTCATTTTCGATGTCCGAAAACAAACTCAACTATACTTAGTTGCTTAATAGTAAGTTTAGTAAGAACACCTATTCAGAACATTTATTTTTTTAAGAACAGATTGAAAACAAAACCAATAACAATTTCTTTAGATAATGCCCACTAGACATTACAAAGATGGAGGCCCGTTCTTTCCAGCTAACTTGTAAACTACTCCAATTATTAGTGAGGATCCTTCTTGGGTTCGTTGTTGCACAACATTAAATGATAGGGTCAAATTAATTTCTTCATGTGGAGGATCCAGCTGAACGAGATACCTGTCTCTGATTAGCATTAACTTAATTAATGTAAATCTCGCTGTCTTTTTGGTCATTAATTAAAAAGGGTGGTGCTCTGACTGGACTCAACATCATTAAGAAGAGCAATGTTTGAAGAATGAGTTTGCTGGCATTGAGTACACAAATGAGTATGAATTCTTTTTTTTTTAAGGAGGGTCCTTTTATTTAATTTGGTGTAGGTTGATTACTTGTCACTCCTCACCCCAATCAATGCAAATCATCATCATGTGTGCAAGCTTTCTCTCTTTCTTTGTCCACTCATTTCTCATGTTGGATCTTGGCATGCTCAACCCTTTGTCTCTCTCTCTCTCTCTCTCTCTCTAAAATGTAATAGATTTGCTCATTTGCTTGAGCTGGTGCTGGATAGATCCCCACACGATTAGGTTTTCCTAATGCAACTGTTCCAAGCAATCTGCCCTTACAGAAAGGAAGGGGATAAGATACAAATTCTATATGCATAACCTGTGAAAAGTGAACTGTTCCCAGTGTGAAATGTTCATAAGCCAGCATGTCATGTAATGTTCACAATTTATTACAATTAATGATTAATCAAGCAGTCACTATTACACTCCCACAAGCTTCCATCAGTGCAGGGATAGAGTGGGCAGAAGAGTAGCTGTGGGGGCCAAAAGCCACCTCGTGATTTAAGGCCATGGTGAAAGCTGGGTTCAGATTATGATATGATGTAAATCTCTTTCACACACATTTGATACTTATTCCTCGGGGACCACAGACGTTTTGATTTTGTTGTCTAGGTTTTGAGTTTTCACACATATTTAAGACCATGGAGAAAGCTGACTTCTGTTTGATCATGTCACATATGAGGCTATTTCTGTCCCTTACAGAGGGCCGTATGTATTACCCAAAAACTAATTTATATAGCTCAATAACTGAACTTTTACTTAATGTATATTAACTACACCAGTAGTTACTCGAAAATTAACATGTATCAATTTAAATACTTTTGCATGTCGGGTCGCCAATTAGGATTGTATCTAGTATTGGCCGTTCAGGGATCACTAATTACATTCATTTCTATTTAATTAATAACGTAAGGAGGATGGCTTTCCATTGGGCTATTATACATCCTTCTCTTCTCCTCAGGGCATTCCTTATATTATGAGGCTTGAACATGAATTAGGAAAAGAAGGCATTGTTTTATTCAATTGGGCATGCCCCATCAAGGAAAAAAGATTGAAAAGAGAATCAATGAAAGCTTAAAAGTCAAATGAGCATATCACAATTATTCGTAACCTATTGAAGTACATATTGATTCCCTATACAATGTAGATGCTGTTCAAACAAATGAAATGCTGATTGCAAATCTAGCTTTAGCCTTATCATGATTAAATATAGGTCAATGGGATTTTACCTCGTATCATTATATGCACTTTGGATCGCCTCTATCTTCTTTTCTTCGTTTTAAGCACCTCTTTTCATCGAGTTCTTAAAAAGTTCCTTGCTTTACGCACTGAAGATTAGTTGTCAAGTGAACTAATTCTGCAGTCAGCTAAACCGGAGTAACTGCAATTAAAATAAAAAAACAAGTAGGATGGAAGGCAGAAGCATCCAATTGAAGAAAATAAGGATAAGGTGATGAATAATGCTGAAATGTGCTAATACTATTTTGCAGAGTTAGTATATTACTTGTGATTTATTAAAATCTTATTAAATGTCAGATATGACTCATTTTAAAAAGTTCATTCATAACAGGTCGAGTTAATTAATAATATAAATTTTAGAAAATAATCTTATTATACCTTGTATTTTGCATAAAAAGTGTCTATCTCGAAAAGTGTCACTTTTAAGTGCACTGACTGCGTTGCAGAATGTTTGACCGCACTTAAAATTGACCTACAACTGAAGGGCCAAAGAGAGAAGCGTGTGTTGACTTTGACAAGTGCTGCTTTCCTTCTCTTTCGTTTTTCTCCTAAACAGCAAAAAAGTTTCACCTTTCTTACAGACAGGAGTCAGATCAACTTGCATTCAAGTGGGAAAAGCCCATCGGAAAAAAGAGAAAAAAGAACACGGTGAAGAATCATTGAATACCCACCAACATCACTGATAAATTTCACCAACCCAACAGACAGTTCTATTCAATTCAACCCCCTCCCATTTTTTTCAAAACCTATACCTTACCAGTATATACTGTTCGTTCCCTTCCCCGTTATACCCTCTCTCTCTCTCTCTTTCTCTCTCTCTCTCTCTCCAGAAAGTTTTTTTCTTTCTCATCTAAGTAAAGTTCATAGTGCACGGTGCAACCCCCCCCCCCCCCCCCCCAAAAAAAAAACGAAAACCCCTCACAGATGGAGCTTGCTGATTTCTCATGTCATGTATGTGAGGTGTAGGCAGAGACAAAAGAGCAATGCTTCGGTTTTGCTTTTGTTGTCTTCCTTGAACCTGCAGACTAAGACAAAGGTGAGCTCACACTTTCTTTGAAGGACCACTAAAAGCAATCACGGCCCTTTCACAACCTTTGCTTCTCTTAACAGTTTCCATTCAAACTTAAATGGTTTCAGCAGCCAGTTTTTGGGGTTTTCCGGGCATCTCAAAGAAGTCCCCGGACGCGGTAGCAAGGTTGGTTCTTTTGTGATGATCCTTTTCTGGGTAGTGCAATAAACCCATACCCTCCTGCTTGGTGGTGGTTTTTTGGATTCAAATGGAGCTAATGCAGCCTGAAAGGTACCGTCTAGCCTGTGCCCAGAGCCATTTATGAAGGAGTTAAGGTAGCTTTGGAGCTTTGAATTGGGGATTTTTTAGGTTGGATTAAGTCCTCTCAGTCTTATATCTCTGTCTTGAGAGATCTTGTTATTTCTCAAATGGGTCTCGGCTTGTTTGGTTACGTCCTGGTTTTGGCCATTTGCACTAGGCCTTTGGCTTCTCAACAGCCAAACACGGACGGGTCTTTTGTGTCTGAATTCTTGCGGAAGATGGGTCTCGCTTCTTCGCATGTCTACGACTTCTCTTCTCCTGTTTGCTCATGGCAGGGAGTTTTCTGTGATGCCGAACAAAAGAATGTCGTCAAGTTTCTAGCTCCCGGTTTGGGTCTCTCTGGTCCTATTCCTGATACTACCCTGGGGAAGCTTAGCAAGCTCCAGACTTTGGATCTTAGCAACAACAAAATCACTGGGTTGGCTTCAGATTTCTGGAGTTTAGGCTCACTTAAGAGCCTAAACCTCTCCTCCAACCAGATTTCTGGGTCTCTCTCGAGCAACATTGGCAACTTTGGTTCACTTGAAGTTATTGATGTTTCTGGCAACAATTTCTCGGGTGAAATTCCTGCAGCTATAGGCTCTCTTCAGAGTCTTCAAGTCCTCAAACTAGATGGGAATGGGTTTCAATGGAGCATTCCACCCAGCATTCTGAGTTGTCAGTCTCTTGTCCTCATTGACCTTTCATCAAATCAGCTAAATGGGTCTCTTCCTAATGTCTTCGGTGCCGCATTCCCCAATCTCAAAACCTTGAACCTAGCAAACAATGAGATTCATGGGCATGACGTGGATTTCTCAGGGCTGAAATCGATCACCACTCTCAACATTTCCCAGAATTCGTTTCAAGGATCGGTGCTCGGTGCCTTCCAGGAGATGTTGCAGATTGTTGACCTGAGCAAGAACCAGTTCCAAGGTCACATTTCTCAGGTACGGTTCAATTCCACCTATAACTGGTCCAATCTGGTTTATCTAGATTTGTCAGAGAATCAGCTCAGCGGAGAGATTTTACACAGTTTGAATGAATCCCGGAACCTTAGATACCTAAATCTTGCACATAATAGATTTACCAGGCGGGAGTTCCCAAGAATTGAAGTCCTCTCTGGTTTAGAATATCTTAATTTGTCCAAGACGAGCCTCACTGGTCACATTCCCGGTGAAATCTCGGAGTTGAGTCATTTGAAGACACTCGATCTCTCTGAGAATCATCTCAGTGGCCAAATCCCCCTTCTTAGCGTTCAAGGCCTCCAAAACCTCGATGTTTCTCAAAATAATTTGACCGGAGAAATCCCGATGTCGCTCTTGGATAAGCTCCCTCGGATGGAGCGATACAACTTCTCTTACAACAACTTAACCTTCTGTGCAAATGGAATTTCCCCAGAAAACCTCCAAAATGCCTTCTTGGGGTCAACGAATAGCTGCCCCATTGCTGCCAACCCAGCATTCTTTAAAAGAAAAGCTCCCCGAGATAAGGGACTCAAGCTTGCGCTTGCTTTATCCCTCTCAATGGTCTGTTTGCTTGCTGGACTGCTATTTCTGGCCTTCGGTTGCAGAAGAAAAACAAAACTGTGGGCTGTAAAACAGACCTCATACAAGGAAGAGCAACAGATTTCGGGCCCTTTCTCGTTTCAAACCGATTCAACCACATGGGTAGCCGATGTAAAGCAAGCCACATCAGTCTCGGTTGTAATATTTGAGAAGCCTTTGTTGAATATCACATTTGCCGACCTCTTGTCTGCAACATCAAATTTTGACCGCGGCACCCTTTTGGCCGAGGGAAAGTTTGGGCCTGTGTACAGGGGATTCCTGCCCGGTGGAATCCATGTAGCTGTCAAAGTTTTGGTTCATGGATCCACATTGACCGATCAAGATGTGGCCAAGGAGCTTGAGTATCTTGGCCGGATCAAACACCCGAATCTTGTCCCGCTAACTGGATACTGCTTAGCCGGGGATCAAAGGATTGCTATATATGATTACATGGAGAACGGGAACTTGCAGAACTTGCTTCACGACTTGCCACTGGGTGTTCAGACGACAGAGGACTGGAGCACGGATACGTGGGAGGACGACGAGAATAATGGCATTCAAAATGTCGGATCTGAAGCACTATTGACCACTTGGAGATTTCGACACAAAATAGCCCTTGGCACTGCGAGAGCTCTCGCATTTCTACACCACGGGTGCTTCCCTTCGATAATACATCGGGATGTTAAAGCTAGTAGTGTTTACCTCGACTACAACTTGGAACCGAGATTATCTGATTTTGGGTTGGCTAAGGTGTTTGGAAATGGATTGGATGAAGAAATTGCTCGCGGGTCACCCGGGTATGTTCCGCCAGAATTCTCTGAACCTGGATATGAGTCCCCAACATCGAAATCCGATGTATATTGCTTTGGCGTGGTTCTTTTTGAGCTCATTACAGGGAAAAAGCCAATTGGAGATGAATATCCAGAGGAGAAAGAGGCGAATTTGGTGAATTGGGTTAGGGGGTTGGTGAGACAGAGCCAGGGATCAAGAGCCATTGATCCAAAACTTCGCAATACCGGACCTGATGACCAGATGGAAGAAGCCCTTAAGATCGGCTATCTCTGCACGGCCAACCTCCCCTCGAAGCGGCCGAGCATGCAGCAGGTAGTTGGACTTCTTAAAGATATCGAGCCAGTCTAGGTGTTTGATTAAGTGAGGAAAAAACAAGAAACAAAAAGGAAAAAAAAATTGAAGCTTGATGTTGGTTTATTCATTTTCTCGCTCTGCTCATGAATTTGATGAATCTCTAGTTCTTCAAGTGCTGCTAAGGTTAAGGAAGGAGTTGTATAGTATTCCTGAACTTTCATGTTTTGGCTACTAAGCCTTCTCTTTTGTTTTATTTCCGGTAGTATAGAAGCTTAATTTATACATGGAAGTCCAATTTTCCCGACGTCGATTCTCGTTGTAGTTTTGTTTAGGTGCCTTCATTCATTCACCGCCGATCATCCAATACCCGGCCGAGCTGTTTTCCTCATCAATGTCTAAACGACTTTACCTTCTTTGCCTTGGCAAAATAACAAATTCCATGAATTTCCACAAAAGAATCTTGGCGAAAGCACAGGCCTTTAGATGGGTGTTATATGAAGATACCCTTTTGTTATCTCTGAGAAAGATGCTTGTGGGACTGTGCATACACATTACTATTCTTGTACTGTAGCGAGTGTACTCTTTAACAGGTTCCCCGCTTCGGCCGATGCTTTTAGGCCCTTAAAAAAGGGCATGTTCCTTCTGACACCATACGAGGGTGCCTTAATACCAAACAAATCTTCACAGGACTCACGAACAAAACCTGGACCACCAGACATGGACCATTCTCTACTTTTTCCTGCAGAGTCGTGGACTTTGTGTGGGGATTTTTAAGTACGGAGATAAGAAAATGGAGCATGTGCTCGTCATTAAGGGCATTTCGAAACGTCACTGCCATTTTTTCACTGCATGTCCTTCTTTTCTCGTGCAAAAGTTGAGCCCATTTCTTTTAATGATTGTGTTTGGTTAAGTGGGTGATTTCACGCCAACAACTACATGTGAAAATGAAATGAATGCTGTGGTACTACAGGGGCGACTAAAACCATTTCTAACAGAGAGAGAGAGAGAGAGAGAGAGAGAGAGAGAGAGATTGATGGGATGTATATATTATTGAAAGACTAATGGGAAAATCTTGATATAAGCTGGAAAAGAACAAGATTTGATAACCATTTTAGTCAAAAGGGGGGTTGATTCTGTGGATTCGGTTGCTGAGCATATAGTAGCATGTTAAATTGTTCTTCTTTTGACTTTGTGACACTTCGAATGCAAGAAAGAACCCCACCCAAATCACCACCCAAACAAAACTGCTGCTTTGGACCTAAGCATGTCCTCAAGAGGCTTTATCTTGGTTTCATCCGGATCTCGGGATTACCAAGATAGAAAATTTCTAAAGAGTATTCTCTCTCATTGAAAAAGATAAAGATACATGGAGAATTAAAAGTACAAGACGTGCGGGCACCAGCAAGTTAAAATAGGGAAAGCATCCGTGAAGCCTGCAGGATAGGCTGCGGAGGCCTTCGTAGGAGTGAAAGCTCCATTCCTTTGATGATGTTAATTATTATTGAAAGAGTGATGAGAAAATCATAATATAAGCTAGAAAAGAGCAAGATTTGATAAACCAATCAGTCAAAATGGGGTGGATTCTGTGGATTCGGTTGCTGAGCATATAGTAACATGTTGGATTGTTCTTCTTTTGACTTTTGTGACGCTTTGGATGCAAGAAACAACCCCACCCAAATCATCACCCAAACAACATCGACTTGACACTCCATCCATGAAATGTCCTCCCAACCAATACATTCTAAGGAAATAAATAAACAAATGAAGCCAGCATGATACACCCATCTGCGATTTATGCAGAGCTTAAGCGTTTTTTTTTTCCTCGTTCATTCGGAAACATGCATGGTTCAATTAAGGGGAAAAAATGAGAGATATATATACATGATATTGTAGTATTTTTAGGCTGAAGGGGTGCATGAGTGAGTGGTGATACACCCATCTGTCTCTTGGTCAGTTTGCATGATGAATGTCCCACACGCTGCCAAAAAACACTCATGAGAAAACTTCTTCTCATGTGTTTTTTGAGGTTTGTTTGACCATAATTTGCTGCGCTAATTGAGGGAATCATGTAATAATGCTTGCTAACATGGGGTCACTACAGTCACCCTAAGGAATGATTATTGTCCGAACTCTCCAAAAAAAAAGTCTTTTCTTCTTTATCTATACCAAAAGGAGAAAACAAAATGGAGAATAAATTAAATTTTTTTTTTGAAAGGGGAGTCTTTTGTTGAGAACTTGGGCTTGCTTTGTGATGAAATATCCCTCTTTTAGAAGGCTATTTTATCTCCTCAAGAGGAACAGCATGAACTTGCCTTAATCATGTATTAATTCGGACCGATGACCGGAACTTGATAATTATATCTTTCTTTCTTCTTTTTTTGGCAATTTAAGTGTGTTTTCTAGGATGCTAAGCAAACAGAAAGAAAATGATTTTCCCCTCAACATGTTCTCTTTTTATTTGAGAAAGGCAGCTCTTTTCATGGGTTGCAATTCCTTGTTCGTAGATTAATTTAGGATGGGCCAATTTCAGTGGTTTTGGGCAATTCAAATAATAAGATGGGCCGAGCCCATTTCAATTGGGCTACTTGACCCAGGCCCAACAGAAAAGGCTCGTGTATATATCATGAAATTTTCCCATAAGGTGAATCATACATCAGACACCTAATGGGCAATAGCTTGAGTTTTGCTTACAATTTCGATTAGCATCTTTCTATCTAATTAAAGCTAACCCAAAAGATTATTTCAATCTCGGATTTTTCCCCATAAAATTCCATAAAAAGCCCTCGATCGATAATCATAGTACAATATCAAATGACGGTGAAAATCGTAATTTTAATATTTTTTTTATTTTGTCATTCATTGCAGTAATCAAGAATCGGTTCCACTTCTATTCTCTTATTGTTCCACCTAAATTCATTTCAGCCCGTTCCATTCTCATCTCATTCTGTCGGACGTAGCCTTAGTATTTACATTTTTTGAAAAACATCCATAGAACTACCATTTCACGCATATAGTCTTGGGAAGACAAATTTTTGTAATTTCAATAAAATAAATGCGGTTATTTAAAATTAGGGAAAATAATACAGATATATGATCATCCTAATTATATTCTGGAAAAAAAGGTGGAAAACCTCAATTCAATTTTGTAGACTTTTTTTTATAGCACAAGTCTTAGTAATTACATATCTTTAAAATAAAAGCATGAACATAACTCCCAATTTATTTTTTCTATAAAAAAGCCGAGTCATAAAATTTGTCGCGAAAGTGCAATTGAGTCTTAAAACTTGCAAAAAAGTACAATCAAGTCCTAAAATTTGTCAATTTGGTGCAATCGAGTCCTTCCGTTAACATTTTGGATGTCGATATTCTTTCTCAAAGTTTTGTGGATGAACGAATCCATCAGAATATATTTATTTAAGGAGGAGGAATATGACAATCTTTGGTTCAACTAGCTGTGAAAGGAATAAGATGCAATACAGATGATTCATGCAGAAAAAGCCATTGGCATCATATACTTATGCCATTATAAGTCTCTAAAAAGGGAGAGACGTGAACCGTTAAAACTATATATGATATTAAATGTCAAAATCAATACGATACATTACAATTTTCACAAAATCAAAAAGGGAGGGTATACTCATCATGACCATAGATGGGTTGGTACTCATTACTTTGTTAAAAGTGTTAGGATAACAAGTGGCATCTTCAAGAATCCTACAAGATCAAGAAAAGGATGGCTTATATGATGCAAGCTTTGACTAATCAATATATATATTTCAAAAGATGTGCAAGACTAAAGATGCTATTCATAAATAAGAAACACTGCAAATAAAAAGGGGAAAAAGCCACAAAAAATCTTAAATTATGCCCGCGACACATTTATCATAAACTTTTTTTATGACATCAAAAACTCAAAACTATGTCCACTATAACATATTTACCCTAGAATCCCAAACTTGTACCTATGTTACATATTTAACTTTCGTCAAGACAGATGGATTTTCTATCAAAATAAAATCCTTATTACTGCACTTAAGTCATGTGAGTGCCAAGTCAACAATGTTTACTTTTCGACGTCAATGCAGATAGATTTTTAACAGTCCTCATTAACAGAACTTTGACGGAGGGTAAATGCGTCACACAGGTACAAGTTTGGGATTTTCGGTGTCACAAAAAAATTAGGATAAATATGTTTCAATGGACATATTTTGGGAATTATTTTGGATTTAGGTCACTTTGTATGGTTAGATTGCGTACCTCCTTTGACACATAAGTCGGTTGGATCATTACCCCACTTATAGTAGAGGAGTTTCCGATACCATAAGTAATGACCCAGGTCAGCGTGGACCATAAGTCAGAGGTACTCAGGTGTAACCACAGAAAGTAATAGCTACTTGGAAGTAGATTTTACTTATAAACCACTTTATAAGACCCCTTTCTTTCGACGTGGGACTTTGGGATGTTACAAAAATGTAACATTTTTTTTAATTCCCATCTTCATTACTTTTATTACTAGGTAATATAGAGGAATCTATTGGCTAACAATACTAATTATAGTAATAACTCAATGTATGTGAAGTGTAATTAATTTTAACATAGTTCTTATACTTTTAGCCTAAGTGCTTTTGACTTGTTTATTTATACAAACAATTACTTATGAATGCACCTATCTCTATACAAGGAACTAGACAATTAACTAGCGCTTTGGATGGGAAAATTTGTGTATTTCTCTTATATTATCTTCTATAGATGAAATGTTCTTTTTGCATAAAAAATCCGAATACCAAACTAAAAAATTCAATAATAGGAATCGATGGATGTTTTCCTAAATACTATAGTGATTCGAGTATGTATAACAAGCGATGGTAAGATTTCACTATTAAATTGTGGGATTTGGTGTGAGAATGTAAAAACCTTATTGTAATTATAGCGAAAAGGCAAACAACAAATCAAACAATTATATTCTGCATGAATAAAAAACTACCTTCTCTTCTCATAAACCATTTAATCATCAACTTTTTTTTAATAATAAATTTGTGATTAATCAAACAACTCAAACACAAATCTCTAACTAATCAATAGAATTTTTTTTTAAAAGAGGGGGAAATTGTCCAAAAAGCCCTAAGCCTATTACACTTTTGCCGATTCAATTCTAAACCTTTCAATTTTGCTAATTGAATCATAAACATTTTCATCTTTTGTCAATAAAGTCCACTCAGCTAATTTTGGCTGGAAATCGCTGACGTGGACGTTGGTTGTGCCATGTAGGACGGTTGGTGCTGATGTGGATAATTTTTATAAATATTTTAATATTTTTTCATTTTTTTATAATCTTTTTTTATTTTTTCTTTTTCCTTCGTCTTTCTTTTGCTTGTGGTTGGGCAAGCTGGCCTCGTCTAGGCAAGGGTTGTCGTTGCCTGCCATAGGCAAGGCCCGGTTGGGCGAGCCTCAGCGAGGGCTCCTCTTGCCACCTCATCTCGTCCAGATCCGGCGAAGCCGACCTTCGCCCAGGCTAGAGTGACCTCATTAGATCAGGTGAGGGGCCCTCATCGGGGCTCCTAAGGGCCTTGCTTGTGGCGGGCAATAGCGACCCTCGCCTAGGTGAGGCTAGCCTACCCGTTCATGGCTGGTGGCCAGTCATCGGTAAAAGAAAGAAGAAAGGAAAACAAAAATCAGAAAAATGAAAAAATAATAAAAGATAAAAAAAATTAAAACGTTATTAAAATTTATTCATATCAGCTTAGTGTCGACCGTGCCACGTAAGACAGTTGGTGTCCATATCAATGATTTCCACTCAAAATTGGCCGGATGGACTCAATTGGCAAAATGTGAAAATGTTTAGGACTCAATTAGTAAAATTGAAAGGTTCATGATTGAATTGATAAAAATGCAATAGGTTTAGACATTTGTGAACAATTTTTCCTCGAAAATATCAATTAAGAGAAAAAAAAGATCGAGAGGATGTGAAAACATCATAATGAGGAAAAATTATTCATCTTGCACCAAGCATGACAAGAAATATTTCATTATCATTTGTTTTCTTATATTCTATAGATAGATGGGCGCATCGAATGATTGACTATCAAAGATGATCGACCAGTAAAATCAAGAGAAGAACCGATTTTACACTCTATTAAATCATCCACGATAGAAGGAAAAGGACATTAACAAATATTAAAATCCTATAGAAAATTGATGTAGACTCAAATCACTCCAAGTCTCCCATTTGTATAATAATCACAACACCCCAAAATCCAAGAATTATATCCATGGATTCTTGATTTTCAATGTCACCATCATCAAACCTGGGACCAACACATCCGACGGCCAGGATTGAACCTGCAGTGTCACCAGAGTTAGAAGAATATCAGTAGGGGCCTCCCCACCCCCACCTGTCTCCTCCTCCTTCTTCTTCCTCCTCCTCCTTCTCCTCCGGCTCGTCCTCACACTGCGAATTTCTAGAGAGAGAGAGAGATGTCGGACGAGGAACATCACTTCGAGTCGAAAGGAGACGCGGGTGCGTCCAAGACTTACCCGCAACAAGCTGGCACCATCCGCAAGAATGGCTACATCGTCATCAAGAATCGCCCCTGCAAGGTCTCTCTCTCTGTCTCTGTCTCCGTCTCTGTCCGTCTCTCTCTCTCATATTCTGGTTCTGGGATCATTTGGGTACTGAGAATTTATCTGGGTATGCGATTTAACGCGTCAGATCTTCCATGCAATGTTGTGAAAGCTCGGAATTGTCGAGGCGTGTCTTTTCTTGGTGTGTCGTAATTCAGTAATTCTTACTCAAATCTTTTTGTTGGGTTGTTTGAATAATAAGCAATTCGTTTCATCGTCCCACGAGAGATGTGCGGGGGAATGATTTGTTCCGGTGGAAACTGTGTGAGGCTCCAACTCCTTTTGGGTACTGCCAGAAATTCTAAAGATGGTTGCTTTTTTGTGCGTCTCTCTTTCGTGCGTCTGATTGAAACCCACTTGTCTATAAAGTTCGGGAATTTGTTGATCTGTCGTGTTCTTCTGCTAGATGGAAATTCATGTAACAGGATTCAAGTCTTGCTAATAGATTTATATTGAAACCCTGTGAGTTATAGCTTGAGGGTTATGTTCCGTTCCGTTGCATATCTTGTATTACAATAGCTCAGTTTGATGCGCAGTCTAGTCTGCCTTTCCTCATACTGGGAAAAGCTGTTGCTGTTAATTCATGTGCAGTTCACTCATCTATTTAGAGGATACTGCATCACATTTGATGTTATCTGGATTATGGTCTCGCTCATAGAAAATTTCTTGTCATGGTGGGAGCAGGTTGTAGAGGTTTCTACCTCAAAAACTGGCAAGCATGGACATGCCAAGTGCCACTTCGTGGGGATTGATATCTTCAATGGGAAGAAACTTGAAGATATCGTTCCGTCGTCCCACAACTGTGATGTAAATGCCCCATTGGCCAAATCTTCTTTCGAAAGATCTTTTTTTTAAGAGAGCTTGTTCTTTTCTAAAGTTTTCTGTGTTCATTTCGCAGGTTCCTCATGTTAACCGCACTGACTATCAGCTCATTGATATCTCTGAAGATGGTTTTGTGAGTGATTCTTTGCTGTTATTGCCAGATCATTTGCTTCACAAGGGCCTCTTAACTGTTATATACATACGATGGTGCTTGTAATAGTGTTAACGTGAGAAATAGATCATGGTTTATTTGAAAAAGGAAAATGCTTTCCCCCTTTCTTTTTACGAATGAAGATTCCATAATGTGATCAAGATTTTGGATGTTAAGTACTCCAAAAAGTTTCAGCTTTCCATTTGAAGGAAAAAAAACATATCGATATTTGCAACATCTCTGAGAGGCATGATTATCTGATGTCCAAAAGGTTCTCTCCTGGACCGTGAAGGATCATTGGTATCACAATTTTGAGTCGGTCTTCTTCTGATCAAAGCAAATTTCATGGGATGAATTGCATTTTTCAATTGAAGAAACTTCCTTCTGCGGAAAAAGATATCTTAATCCCAGAAGACCTTAACCGGTATAAAGACTGTCACGAGAAAGTCTCTGCTCTTCTCCTCAAGACTGATTTAAACAATTTGTGTTGAATATCTTTCAGGTCAGTCTTCTGACTGAAAATGGAAACACCAAGGACGATCTGAGGCTTCCCACCGATGACAGTCTGCTTAGCCAGGTATCACTCTAGGACATGCATATTTTCTTATCCCAGTCTCTCTATTTTTCCAACGTGCTTAAATAATTGTCAGCTTAGATCTAACTTCTCACGGGTTCTCCTTTCACAGATTAAAGATGGGTTTGGCGAAGGAAAGGACCTTGTGGTGTCGGTCATGTCCGCAATGGGAGAAGAGCAGATATGCGCTCTCAAAGATATCGGTCCTAAGAACTAAAATAAATCGCTACTGTTCTATTAGCCAGTCATGGCAGCAAAACTTGTTAATGTTTGCTAACAGAGTTATCTTACATTCCTAAATCCACGAACAAAGGCTTATTTTAGCTGTGTGATTGTAACGATGGGGAGTGGTGAATCCGATGATAGTAATGGCAAGAGGTACTAATCCTCCCTGCCTGTACCTCTGTTGTAAAACCTTGCTCTCGCGGGGATGACGATTACGTGGTTATGGCTTATGGTCTTATATCCTGTTTTTATTCTCAAGCATTTGTTTTCTAGTTACACTGTGGCATTTCCGAGCTTAGCTAATATGCTACCGGGTGCTGTAATTCTAGTTTTTCGGAACCCTGTGTTTCTTACGTGGCCCGAGTTTGGATTCGTACTCGTCGCAGACTTTTGCATCGTAGAGGCGCGATACCCTGCTCAAGTGACATTCAACAGTTCATGGAGTAGTTTATCTCTTGATAGAAGAAGAAAGATATGATCGTCTTAATCAATGTGTGTTGTTGTATCTGTCTGCATTCTAATAAAACTGTGCTCTTCAGTTCGCGGGCTTCATATTTCTAGGCTGAAGTTCAGATCATGCTCTTGAGCTTTTTGTACCGATGAGCCACTTGACATGTTCGATGGGGTTTCGTTCTCATGCAGTAGAGAGAGTAAGTGCGAAGCAACCTCGACGCTTGACTGATAGCAGAACGAATTCTGTGTCACCCCAGCCGGAGACCTGGCCCTAGCGCTTGTTCAAATGTCCCGGAAGGATTTCATTTTGACTGCACCAGGCGCTTTCGCTTACTAATCTGTTCTTTTCTTCACATCTGATCCATCATCTCCATTCACAGGTCTGGTAAAATTACCTGTATCTGATTTGCTACAAATTGATAGGAAACCACAATGTGTAATCTTCCATGGTCACACTAGCAGTCATCTCATTATGGTTTTCCTCTTTCGGTCGTCCATACGTCTTTATGAAGTGTAAGCAGTTTGAATGCGTCCGAGAAATTTCTTCACTGGGTTGTTTGCTCATTTGGGAAAACTCTACATCATCACTTTCATTGATCACTATGATCTGTTAATGAACCTGAGCTGAGTCCGCAGACAAAGCTCACACAAGCAAGAGAAGAAGAGCAACAATTGGTACCTACTCAACGAAACATGTATGCATAAATCTCTACATTGATATTGCATTTCTGCATATAGTTTTCAACCGGCGATCGACACGCCAAAATAGGTCATTGGAACCTTACTGTTGTGTCGTGGCCCCAAGTGCGACGGTTAGAACTGTACAGTTACTGCAGATGAAAGGCTTTCTCTCTGTCCACCGAAGGTGGTACTCTAGTTCGGAGAATACAGTAACTTCTGGTCAGTCATATCAATCACAGATCATGAACATTGACAAAAATGACTCAGTCTACTGCAAAAGTTAGATGACTACAAAGCAGATAAATAACCTTTCTTATCATTTCTTTCACACTATGCAGTATACACTGAATCACAAGTTGCACCATAATGTGATTAGTGAGAACTAGCCAAGATACAGTCATGAAGTTTCGGTACTCACATTGGCACTGCCATATATGTATGATCCAAATCCCCAAAAGGTTATGACAAGCGACAGGATCTTGAATCCACTCATCGGATCTTTCAACAATATAACGGCAGCGATGCTAGTAAGAGGCACCCTCACAGCGTTCAAGACACCAGCGAGGACGGTCGAAGACAAGAAAAGCACGGCAGTGCCTCCAAGCACCCCCAATTGAAAAGTTATGGCGCCCCATATCATAACCAAGTAATACGAGCTCTTACCGCCCTTGAAACTTTTGGCCTCGTTTGCCATTTCTTGAAAATCGTGATTCAAGGCAACACCGATCGTTGTAAGTACGAAAGCGAAAGAAGAAACCATGACCTGTTGCTCCAACACCACATGGAACGATCTTCTTCCTAGATACTTGATGAAGACGAGCTCCGAGAGAGCGAAGATGAGGCCATGGAGTGCGGATCCCAAGATGTCCCACATGAAACCCATGATGTATTGGCTATTGGTGACATTGCCATATCTGTCTGAATTCGAGTCCAAAGCGATTATTACCATGGCTGCTGTAATTATCACGACACCATTGATCATCGACATAGTTAGTTTGTTCTTGACGAATAAATATCCAAATAGTGCAGAGAACACCAAAGATGACGATGCTAGAAGAGACGAGGTTGACGCAGGTAGGTAGGCATAGGCATAGGCATACATGAGATTGTCAGCAGCACTTAAGAAACCTAAGACTAAGTAAGAAATGACGAGCTTTAAGTTTAGAGGGGTTGGGGAAACTTTGCAGATGAAGTATGTAGGGATCAAGATGAGCGCAGTCAGGGGCCATCCGGCGACGGCCACCCACGAGATGATCCATTTGCTTTTGCCACCATTTGTGTAATAGACACGGGAAAGGAGGCTCGAAGCAGGGAAGGCGGTGAGCATCAATCCGCCACTCAGAAGCAGAAGAATCCAATGCGAGATGGGTTTGCTTTTATATGCTTCCCAAGCCACAGTTCTAGCAGCAAATATTAGGTCCCAGAAAGTTGGACGCGGTTTCTTGGGTAATGCCTCTTCCATTCTTGTCCCCTACCATAGACATTAAGTGGCATGAGTAAACAGTATGCTCATAGAATAAGTCAATAAAACTTGCATGAGTAAAGGGTCTTGAACATTTCTGTTGTTACTATCGAAGCTGAAGACGGTTAATCAAATTTCATCCAACTACAAGAGAAGAACACCACCCCTAAAGGAACAGTAGTCCATCATCGCAGTAAACAACCAGATTCACCACCTTTCAATTGAATTCGATCATTTGGAAAACTACAAATAGCATGCAAAGTCACAGTATGGAGGAGAGATCCACGGCTCATAAGAACGAATCACCTGACCACAATCAAAATATTAAAAGTTCAAGTGGCTGAATGAAGCAGCTACTTCTGGAGAGTTTACTCGACAGTTGACAATCACCACTCGAGCTTGTGCAAGAATTTAAGTCATGCATCCTCAGAAAGGATTAAGAAAGGACTGGAAATTTCTGCTTCCAAGGTAATTTCGAGCAAGCCAAGTATTTCCTTGGTCTAGCAAAATGAGTGGAACAAAGTCATGATACTTCGGATATACCGAAGATCACAAGTTTTTCAACTGCAAAAAACCATTTAGCATTCCCAGAGGAGCCAACGCATCTCCAACTTTAACAGCAAACAGACCAGAACTCCAGGAAGGCATAATTGTAAAAGCTGTTTTCATCAATCCTACAAGATTGCAAGAATCAAGCATTCCATAAACTAAGCATAATCTCTCCACCAATTGATTGCTTCCGCAAATCACAGCATAATCAGACACGGCATCAAACCATTTCCGACTAATTCGAAGGTCACAACTAACAACAAGCAACAATAGTTTCTCTCCAGAATCAATCACCATTTCTTGCAAATTACTAATCAGTTCAGCTTGAGGAACTAAACTAAATTCCGAAATCATTCTTGCGGGAACAAACAGATGCTTCAGCTCCAAATTAGAACTCGTGAGAATTGGTAATAGAACCACCAAAAACCAAACGCTTTTGTTTGTTTTTTTTTTCTCCTTCAGCCAACCCAAGAAACCACATGAGAGAAGAAAACCCATCAACAACAAAAAGAAACTACGAACCAGGTGAAGAATCAGATGACAAAGAGAGCAAGTGGGTTCAGAAGACACTCGCTCGCCTTGTGAGAAAGCGAGAGAGGCGCCAATTCAACAGTCTCGTCAGCTGAAGCCCCAGCAGATCTTGGAATTAGGATGCTTTGAATATTTCTCATTCGTTTTTAGATGTCTTAAATCTCGTGCTCGTGGTGGAGATGATTAGGTAGGTGGTCCAGTCCCAGCCAGTGGGGAAGGTTGGTGATGGTGGGTCTGATCGAGCGGGCAGCATTTAGTCTCCTCCCAGAGATATCAAGATCGACTCTTTGACTCTTGAGTTCCCCATTTCCGAAAACGACCATAAGAAGAAGCTCACGGGATCAGCATAATTTAATACAAGATTGACTTTCATCGTGAAGACATGTAAGATTTAGAGGGGTTTGTCACGTGTTTGGAGTTTGCCGAGATGGTCGGGATGAAAGGAAAAACATTTCACACAGCAAGGAATGCTTCCGTCGGTTGTTTTGACAATCATGCTTCCGCTGGTGGTTCATTGGGGAAAATTACCAAAAAAGTACTCAACCTATTGCATTTGTGCCAATTTAGTCCTAAACCTTTCAATTTGGCCAATTCAGTCCTAAACCTTTTGCAAACCAGCCAATTCAATCCTTTTGGCCGGCCGGCGCTGACGTGGGCCGCCGGCCGGCGTCCACGTGGCAATATTTTAATATTTTTTTATTATTAATATTTTTTTTTTTTTCTTTTCCTTCTCCCCGGAGCTCGTCCGTCCAAGGGGCCTTGCCGACGAGGGCGGAGCTCGCCCGGCTCGGGCGAGGCGGAGCTCGCCCGGCCATGGCGAGCTCCGCCTCGCCGGATCTAGGCGAGGCGGAGCTCGCCCATCCATGGCGAGCCGGGCCCCGGATCGCGGCGAGCTCGCCCAACTCTGGGCGAGGGCGGAGCTCGCCCATCCATGGCGAGCCGGGCCTCGCCGCCGCCCGCTCTCCATGGCTGGGCGAGCTCCGCCTCGCCCAACGGCGGCGAGGGCCCGGCTCGCCTCGCCGGAGCCGGGCCCTCGCTCGGCGAGCCTCCCCCCTGGCCGGACAGGCCAGGGGGAGAAGGAAAAGAAAAAAAAAATTCGAAAATAATAAAAAAATATTAAAATATTGTCACGTGGACGCCGGCCGGCGCCACGTCGGCCGGGCCCGGCCACGTCAGCCACCCGGCCGCCAAAAGGATCGAATTGGTTGCTGGTTTGCAAAAGGTTTAGGACTGAATTGGCCAAATTGAAAGGTTTAAGACTGAATTGGCACAAATGCAATAGGTTGATGACCTTTTTGGTAATTTTCCCCTTAAGATAAGTCCATGTCCGGATCAAGGGGCGTAAAAGACGAAGGGAAGGCATGAACTGATGCTGCTTGCCCTTGTGTTTCTCTCGTTTGCAGAAGACAAGTAGGCACGTAAAACTAAACGTGATGGAAAGGAACCTACTTTGATCTCCTAGAATCAAAGGAACTAGAGCCGAAGGAGGTCAAGAAACGATATTATCAACGTATGTATCGCGTAAGGCGAAACTCGCTAACCGATCGGCGCATGTGTCGCCTTCTCCATAAATATGTTTTAGAGTAAAGCATTCGGACCGCTCGGTTAGGCGGCGAACGTGTGGCGGCAAATCATTTCTGGTTGCATTTACCTTCGACGAACGTGTGCTTGCAATGTTCGGGATATTTAGTAGTATTAATCTTGGAATCTATTAGCAAAATAGAGTTATATGCATTTTGACGCCGGTGCTTCGACTAGAGGCAAGGACTTGACAAAGGATTCGTACAACCTCAAAGTATCATAAATTTTTCGATAGCGTTGGTATTTTGTCATTCCATGTCTCGTTTGAATTGCTTATTCTTCTCAAGTCGCCTTACCGTTAAAAAAGCAATTGTTGAACATGCTAAAGAACTAGTACATTTTAAATTCGTGTTAATTCGTGCGACTTTGGTTTGCCAACGCCTTTTATAGAATCGGGTACTATCATGTCAACTCATATGAAAAAGTCACCACCTATCATTATTTGCATTGTATAATACTGTGGAAAATTGTATGTCGGATTGGGAAAATTATCTAAAAAGTCATAAATCTATTGCACTTTTGTCAATTCAGTTGTAAATCTTTTAATTATGTCAATTGAGTCTTAAAACTTTTCATGTGTTGCTAATTAAGTCCATTCGGTCAATTTTGGCCTGAAATCGCTGACATGAACGTCGACCGTCTTATATGGCATGGCCGGCGTGCCGGCGGCTAATATGGATAATTTTTTGTAATATTTTAATATTTTTTATATTTTTTTCTTTCTTTCTCTTTTTCCTTTTTTTACTTTTTTTTATTGTTAAGGCTGGCAGCCCCCTACTTACCTCTAGGTGAGGACCTACGAGCCCTCACCCGCCGCGAGCCCTCACTCATAGCTGGGCGAGGGCTCCCGGCCCTTGTCGGTCGTTGTGAGGGCCGTGAGCCCTTGCCTGTGGCCGATGAGGGCTTGCAGGCCCTCGCCCAGTAGTGGGGGTCACCGGGCTTAGGTCGATGGTCCCCTGCCGGCCTTAACAATAAAAAAAGAGTAAATAAGGAAAAAGAAAAAGAAAGAAAATAAAATAAAATAAAGAATATTAAAATATTATTAAAAATTATTCACATCAGCGCTGACGGTGTCATGAAGGACAGTTACGGGTGAGCATGATCTAGGTTGGGTTGGTCCAACACCTAACCCAAGGACCAACCTGCACATTGTTGGTCCCTCATTTTTGGGATCGAGGACCGACCTTGTTGTACCTGGGACCAAGGACTGGACTCGGGTCCATTTCTAGGGTCAACCCGGGACTAATCGATTATTTTTTTTTCGTTTTTTATATTCCTTGAATTGACAAACATATAATTTCAAATTACATATCCATCAACAATGCGACATTGAGCAACCAAATTATGGACACCAATACATATCAGACATAAATATAAGATAAGGTAACAACATAAATTTCAATTTGCTAAAAGCGACAAATCATAAAAATGAACACGTGAAATACGATTAAACCATAAGAAGTTCAAAATACTTAATATAAATCATGAATTATACAACTTCATATCTTGTTCATTCTTAAATGATCGCTTCAACTTCCAAACACTTGAAAACTTAACAAACAACACACATAATTAATACTTAACAAAGTATGTTTGTCCAGTTGAGCTGCACTCGTGAGGCGAGCGAGGAGAGGCCTAAGGTGAGCGAGGCGAGCAGCGAGGTGAGCGAATAGAGGCAAGCGATAAGGCGAGCGAGGCAAGCAAAGAGAGGCGAGCCAGGCAAGGTGGGCAAGCGAACAGAGCAAGGCGACCGAAGAGGATTTCTATTTTTTTGGTCGAATTAGGGCTAAGTTTCTTTCTATTTTCTAATTAACACGGCAAATTGAACTGAACAAGAAAGAAGAGAATAGAGGAGGAGGTACTAGGGTTTAGAGTAGACAAAAGCATACAATATATAATATCTTAATATATACAGTGCTGGTTCGAGTTGGACCAACTCTAAACTCTCAAGACCGAGGTCCAGGGGTCTCAGAATCAAGGATCGACCCAGTCCCCGGGAACTGGGCCAAGACTGGCCAATCCAGGGTCGGTCCAGGTTGACCCTGGACCGATGCTCACCCCTAAGGATGGTTGGCATCCGCGTCAGCGATTTTCGGGTCAAAATTGGTAGGATCGATTCAATTTGCAAAACATGAAAAGGTTTAAGACTTAATTTGTATAATTAAAAGATTTAGGCTTGAATTGGCAAAAGTGCAATAGGTTTATAACTTTTTGGACAATCTTCCCGTATCGAATAATGATCTGTCACGCTATTCAATACGCCGATTTCATTTCATAGTAGTAAATAACCCTAAGATTGTTCACTTCTCTTTGGGTTAGATTATTCGTGGCTCTATATGTAGTTAACACGTGGGATTAGTTTAGTACATTAACACCCCCCCAGGTCAAGAGCCTCGCCACTACTAAACAGCAATTTTTTTTTTTGGCCCCGTTTAATTAAGGCAAAATTACGACCCAAAAAAAATAAATAATAATACCAAGAGGCAAAATGAACGGGGGGAGAAGGAGGAGGAGAAGATGTCAACCAAAACCAACGGCGGCAGTCCCGTCACCCGGCGAATCGGATCCATCCCCACGCTCCCGCACGCACGACCCGGAACCCCCAACCAAAAAAATAATAAATAAAATAAAAAAAAATAAAAAGAAAATAAACCATTATCATTAATATTTATTTTCTCAGGGAAGAAGAGGAAGACCACCTGAGTCAAACGCAGGTCAAAAGGACAAATGTCCCCACGCTCGGCGTCTTTTCTCTCTGAAGCTTCGCCAACGCAACCTCCCCCCCAAACAAGCAGAGCACGAAACCCTCACCTCCCAGAACCTTCGCTTTCTCTCTCTCTCTCTCTCTATAGCGCATCGCGGTCGCGATCGGCGGCGGCGACGCTTCCCGCCCCCTCGATCGGCGGCCGGTCGGCGAGCTCGGCTCGGCTCGGCTCCGGCTTAGGCCCAGCCCCGAGCCGGTCCATGGGGGAGAACGGGAGCGACAGCTCCGACGACGCCGCCCTCCCGACAGAGGACGAGCCCGAGGAATCGGAGTCGCTGTCGGAGTCGGAGGAGGAGCGCCTCCGCGACCTGCAGGAGTTCAGGATGGTCGCGCGGCTCGGCGACCTCCGCGGGGCGGCGGCGGAGGCGGCGGCGGGAGGAAGAGGAGGAGGCTCTCGGTTGAAGACGCCGAGTCGGTGCGCGAGTGAGTTGTTCCTCCTCCTGCTCTCGGGATCTTTTCCCGGTTTCTTGTTGTGTATTTCTCTTCCGTTTCTGGGAAAGGTGGCTCGGGGGCTTTGCTGGTGAGGCTGAGTCGGTTGGTTTTCGGGTTGTGTTTTGATGCGTGTCTGTGTGTGTGCGTGTGTGTGGCAGGTTCGCATGCGGATTCTGCGTCGAGAGAGGAGCCGGAGGTAAATATCTCTCGGTGATTTCCCCCTCGCTCCCTTTCATTACGTCGGTTTCGGCTTGATCTCAAGGTGTCTCTGTTTAAAGTGGTGATGGATGGTGGTTTTTGTTTCTTGAAAGTTGCTGTTTTTTTTTTACCTGCTGGTATAGATACCGGTTCTAGCTCTCAGTGGGTGAGTTGAAGATAACTTAAGTGGTGCGAATCAGTGTTCGACCCATCTACATTTAGTGGAATTCGACTAGGTTCCGTTTCCAATTCGTATTTTTATTTTTCCGGTGCATTCTGCATTCGAGCTTGTTGTCTGGGTCACTTTGTTGATGCACCGCGGCTGGTTTGTTTATTTGTCCTTTTTTTTTTCTTTTTCGCTTTCGATTTCGATTTCGATTAAGAAATGAGTGAAGGCCTTTGCATGGCTTTGGGGTCTAGGTTTAATTTTGTAATTAGGCGAATTATGTTTCGCATCTTAAACGAAATATGCATGTGCGAGCTTTCCATCCACGGCTCGCACCGTCACTTTGAGGAGGTAGTTCTAAGTTTTGCAGGCTGCCGAACGCATGAGGTACATCCAAAGTAGATGTGGATCTATGGAAGAATTATGAATCATGGACTTTACACCTAATGTCGTGCAGGAAAGATGAGGTGGTCAGGGCTGTCATCGTTTATGTTGATCCATGCACGTCTCCAATTGTAGAGGAAGCCTGCAAAGTAGTTTTTAGGCACGAATTCGATTGTAGGGGAAGCCTGAGAAGCAGTTTAAGTTGACTAGTGTTGTTAATTAGGTTTACTGAAGTTTGGACTTGAAGACACATATTTTCCTGCGTAGTTTCGGATGCATCTTAAGTTGTGACAGATCTTTTTAAAGTTTTGGCTTTAGAGAATCATTGTAGCCAATTATACACGTTGAAGGGGGAATAATAATGTTATTGATTGTCAGGCTCTGCATATTAACAGGATCTGTTATTACTTATGCTTAGGGATCAATCGGTGTTACGTAGTTTAAGATAAATTGAAATATTAAAAGGGAATAGATCCAAGCAGGGTTAACGCTTACCTAAACTTACATATAGTTGTCATTTGCTTAGCTAGAGTTTATATTTAATATAAATTTTGACTTTGGTACGTGAAAAAAGAATAAGGGCGAGGGCATATACGGCGTAGGCGTTTCCTGCTCGAGGTTCCTGCTATTAGCTTGTTGAGCTTTTTACTTTGAGGCATGGATTTTTCCTTGCATCTCATCGCGGACTTTTGCAGTTCATTGGAGATAGATTTATGATCAACTGCTGTGAGATAGATTTTTCCTAGTGGCCATTTCTGTTATCACATCCCTTTAGGCAGGAAAGAGATACTTTCCACTCAACTCAGGCATATCGTGGGCTGATCTTTTGTTTTGTGATTTGGTTAATGTTGTATGTTCGCATGTGCTGCCTGTTTTCAAGTCATGATAGAATTAAATTTCTGTGCAAGTGTCTAATTAGTCTGGATTTCTCTTTCCTTGTGCATTTTATTTCCTTTTCTTTAGGAGCGCGTTAAGCGGTTGTATGGCGAACTCAGATCTGACATCACGGGCGAGGCAGCAGAAACTTACTCCAGGAACTCGCGTAATGTTTGTCCATATATTTCATCAGAACTGTCACTAGTTTCTGCTTCTCAGACCATTTCACCAGTTGCCAATTCGACTCATCTAGACCATAAACTGCCACCAACTACAAAGGTCACAGATTCATGTACTGTACATGCCAAGGTACAGAATTCTTCCGATTGTGGAACTACATCTGATGTGAAGGCATCTAGAGGAGATGGGTACAATTGGAGGAAATATGGTCAGAAGCAAGTTAAAAGTCCAAAAGGTTCCCGTAGCTACTTTAGGTGCACTAATTCTGAATGTTCTGCCAAAAAGATAGAGTGCTCTGATCTGTCGAGCGACACAATAGAGACTGTTTATAGAAGTTCACATAATCACGATCCACCTCAGAAAGTCAGAGATGGGCGGCAGAGGAGTCGGGTCAAGTCTGCCAGAATCATTGTGGAGAGTGAGGTTGTCGAACATCCGGTAAGAATGCTCACTGAATCAGATCCATCTGTAGCTTCAAGAGAACAAAAAAATGAATTACCATCATCAGTTCCTGGAAGAGAAATAGAAAAGGCAAATGGCTTTGATGCAAACGATGGAATTGTGGCCAAACAGGAAAATGACAATAATCCAGAGCCGAAGCCAAGGCAAGTCGATCATATATTAGTCTGGATCTTATGTGCTGAGCATGATTAATGTCGTTTGCGCTTTGGCTCTTATACCTTTTACTCCTTGTTTTGATCTCCAGGGGGAAGAAAAATAGGTTGTTTCGGTCGAGTTCTCCCTTAAAACCTGGGAAGAAACCGAAATTTGTTGTGCATGCCGCGGGTGACGTTGGGATATCTGCTGATGGATACAGATGGCGCAAGTATGGACAGAAAATGGTTAAGGGAAACCCTTATCCGAGGTATGTGCTTATATGTTGAAACGGCTCTTTGAGAGTTAATATCGTCTCTTCTGAATTGGCAGAGAATTCTATACAACTTAAACAGTCTCTATTGTGCGGATTTTGCTAATCGACTTTGTTGGGATTCCATTTGCCACTTGGAATAAATTACAGGAACTACTACAGATGCACCTCTGCTGGATGCCCTGTACGTAAACAAGTCGAAACAGCAATAGACAATGCTAGTGCTGTTACAATAACTTATAAGGGGATACATGACCATGACAAGCCAGTGCCCAAGAAAAGGCATGGCCCACCAAGCGCCCCTTTGATCACAGCTGCATCTCCAGATTCGTTGCACGGTACACCGATCAAGAAGTCAGATGGATTGCGAAATCACACTTCACCGACGCAGTGGTCTGTGGACTCAGAAGGAGAGTTATCAAGCCAGGCCCTAGACTTGGGAGGTGAGAAGGCCATCGAATCAGCTAGAACTCTTCTGAGCATCGGTTTTGAAATCAAGCCCAGATGAACGTGTGCTTGCGACTGGTGGAGAAGGGATAAGCTCGTGCTCTTGTTAAAAATGACTAGAGACAGTTTTTTTCGGCTTTTTACTTCACCGGTTTTGCCCTGTATCTTGCTTCGCCAGTCTTCCTGTTTGCGTGGTTTTACACACCCGGTCTTTATTTACATGAGTGAGTGGTGTATCTCCATCGTAGACTGATCGTGAAGAGATGAATGGCAAGACCATCGTCTTCCAAACAAGCCAGCACATCTGTTCAGTAATGGTATAGTAGCCGAACAAGATGCGGAATGACGAGGCAAAGTCCGTTGGGTCTTGCCCCCTCGCCACACGAGGTTAAAGATGTGCTCTGTTCGGTAAATTGATCTGGGAATACACTGTTCCAACTAGAATGGCGGGGAGCATAACCTAACCATAGTATGTGGGTCCGAAACAGGCAGTACTTGAGATTGGACAATTTTCCAGAGACAGCCTATATGGGAAGTCACTATCTTTGGTATCTATTCAGAATATAATGCCAGCCCAACTGTATGTTGCGCTCCAGGGTACAGACATGTTGAGTGAAGGGGAATCCATTAGCTGCCCAGTAGAAACAAACAGGTGTTCCGGGTCCTTCAAATCCTTAGATTTCATCACGCCCGACCGGTCGTTCCCCAAAATTAAATCAAGCTGTCTGGCGTGCAACGGCGAAACACGTACCAACCAACCCCACCTAGTTATAATTGCAAGTCCACGGATCAGATGGTGACCGATCTTACACAACATGGGACATGGACTTTTGCTTGGCACACTGTGGCCTTTAACGAAAGCCACCGACTATCATCTCCTTTGCCATGCCCAAAGGCTCTTCCCGCATCGCATTTCACCATGAAACATATGTTTTTCATTACTCTACAAGCAAAGAAAAATCCACCATTGATACGGTTCGGTTCATGAAATTTTATACACATACATATTCATTGTCGCTAGGCCGACACGGGCAGCGTAGCTACATAAGGAGGGTCAAAGGTTTGTTTGACGTTTGTTCGAGGTCTGGCCTCGGGGCTATGTACGTCACAATTCCTCGGAGAAATCCAATTCATCCATGGCCGCGGATAGTTCGCGTTCGCTCGGACCGTCGGCTTTCTCGTCGCGGGAGCTTTCCATGGCACGGGCCTCTTCCTTCCCTTCCGCGGCGGAGATGCACACCTGGAACCTGAAGCAGCTGATGAGATGATCGTTCGTTAGGCCCGCCGCTTGCATGAACGAGTAGATGACCGAGGGCCCCACACTACGGAAGCCCCGCCTGACCAGGTCCTTGCTGATCACGTCCGCCTTCGGAGATTTCACCGGGACTTGGCGAGGGTATCGGAATTTACTAATTATGGGTTTGTGATTCACGAAACTCCACATATACTTGTCGAACGAACCAAACTCTTCTATGACCTGGCATCAACAGAGCCTGCAAAGAGTTAGTTGCTACAAAATCGACAGCATTTATTAGCTACAGTTATGTTTACTTCATCACAATATAGGACTAGAGACTTGGTTACATAGTTTTGATTCAGAGTTCACCAATCAAGCAAGACGTACATTAGTTGTATGAGTAAACCTCATATTCGAAGAGAGAGAGAGAGAGAGAGAGAGAGAGAGAGAGAGAGAGAGAGAGAGAGAGAGAGAGAGAGATCAGGCTGTACGGAATGGTTTATCTTATCTAGATCAATCAGATTTAGGAGGGATGAGAACCACAAGTCAACTACTATCACCTAATCAATTGTGATGGGGAAGATCACTAAAACTCCATTAGAAGACACTTAATTGCTTGTTAGATAGAAGACACGATGCCTGTGGTCCCAATTAGTATGAGTAGCATGGACCAACCGGGACATATGCTTGAGGTTATTGATGAGAAAAACTATTCCCACTTGCAAAAGAGGACAATTAGGAGAAACGTCAACAGCTTGCAAGAGATAATTAAAACCGGCACCTAATTGAGCACCATTGACTTCAGAAGCATAATCACATTTTAGGTGGACAATCCGTCAAGTTTATCCAGCTCAATCCATGAAGGCAGTCTGCGAAATAGAAATGAAAGCGCTAATTTACCTTAGTTATTTGACGTGCATTCTCAAAGATAGCGCGCAATTTTAATTCTGATAGAAGGGAGCTCGCAGCACTTCCTGGTGCTACCATCTTCTTCTCGTTCATCTTTGAAACAGCGAGCGGGTCGAAGTCAGCAAAGACTTCTCTGCATGAAGAAACACATCATATGGCAAAATAGAGTGAATGGTCAAGTAGTAAGCAGAGACTATGGATACAAGAGGACCAAGGCCAATGACAGTTCTAAAACAGTTTTGCCAATTCAGGGAGAAATTATCAATTTGATTTAACTTAGAGAAGCACCTGAAAGTGTGTCTTTTGCTCAGAATGGCAGGCCATGCAAGTTCAGAAAGGGTGCTGGAGAGGACAAGAAGCTCAAACAATTTCCTGCATGTAAACAACAATGTAATGTGAATCAGCTGTCAACAGAATGTTATGGTAGGTGTCTAATGTCATGCCAAACCAACAGAGCAGATGTACACTCAACATTCGCATCTTCACATACCTATCATCATGCACCGGAACTCCCCATTCTTCGTCATGGAAAGCAGCATAGCAAGGCTCTGTCGGAGAATTGAAAACTGATTAGCATCTCATATGCCTGGGCAAAACTCCATAACTACAGTGGATCTATTAACGTTAAGGAGCTTCTCACGGAAAAAGGAGAGGATGGAGGACTACAGGCATGGATTAAGACACTGGTGAATTGAAGTGAACTATCTAGTCACACTACAAGAAAAGAAGTCGAATAAGGATTGTGATAAACCTAATGTATAAGTCAAGTCTCCCTTAGATATCCCCATACACAGTCAAGAGACACAAGGTTAGACATAGAAGCATTCTATTCCATCCCTCTAGATAACATTTTGAATCTGTGTTATCCTTATAGTCAGCATGACCGAGAGAACGTCTGGCGTCTAAAGTCAAAATAACAAAAGATGATTATGCCTGAAGAGTGTAGGCCATCAGAGTTTACCATAGTTAAATACCCATTCAATCAAAGAAAACCGTAGTGCTAAAGGCTAAATCAGATTTATGACATTTCTTGTTTGCATATTGCAATGGGAAATACAAGGTGCAACATCATAGTGGATGGTTAATATAATACCTCCACTTAGCAAAGAAAATCCCTTGCGGTTCCTATAAGCTTTTGATCTAGTACAAATGGCTGCATTATCTCCCCTATTAACCTTTGCTAACACATCTCACAACATCACCAACCCTCTATTTTTGCCAGAAAATATTATCCTCAGCTAGTGCTATAAAGGCTGGTAATACAGAAAACAGGGAACAATCCATTCTGATATACAGGGAAAAGAAAGCATATATCAATTGCTTAACGATGTTGTTTAATGACAAGCCCAATATATCATAAGTTACAAAAGATTCTTCATGTAGTAGCTCGCAGGAATTAATTCATGATTCACCCAATCTCAAGTGAAGAAGAAAACGATTACTTGCATTCTAGGACAGTTCTAGGCAGATGCATGGATCTATTGATGATGATCTTGCAATGATAAGCAACCTCTTGGCTGATATCTAAAGAATGGCTTCTTAAGCTCGGGAGCAATTTATTCCTCGAGATTGGCTAGTTCTAATAGAGAGAGAGAGACCAGCAATTGAACTAGATTAATGACAAACAAAACTTTGTACAGTGATCTTTCACGGGTGCATACGTTTCAAAACAATCATGAACTCTTTTTTAAGGTTCTACATTAAATGAAGGACCATGAGGACTCAATACTGGCGGACATTGTGATATTGTATTGATAGATGATATTTCTCAGTGAAATTCATTTGGCGGGTTTACTCTAACCCCGTAAATATATCACCATTAGACAAACATAGATCAGCAAAAGCTACAATGCGTTTTGCAAAGATAAGCACATACGAGTTCTATGCAATTCCAGAACTACCAAAGAATTGAGAATGCACGCACCTGTATTTGGCGTCACCCAAGCACAAGTCTTTTTTGCCTGTGGACCTAGCGGAGGCGGAGAATCTAAACTGCCATCAGAAACAACACTCCTCGGCTTCGAAACAACAGGCTTTCTTCGATACCCAACACTACTTGATCGAATGAGCCTTCCAGTAGATGCCCGACTATGAAATGACTCCGTAGAGGCATCAGATGAGCAAGACGCATTCAAGGACGAGTTAGAATGCAAGAGCTGCTCATGCCGCCGAAGTACAGAGGAACCATTAGTAGGATGCAACTGGGGAGAGGATGAAGTAACTGTCGCAAATTGAGAGGCCTTCTTTCCCTCTGGAGTTCCAAACTCATCAGGTGACCTATCCTTCTTTCTCAATGGCTTCGAACTGGGTTTCCGGACACTCAGAGAACTCGCCTTATTGCCAGTTGGACCTAGTACAGGTCTCGTCTCAGAATCAGCCACATTCATCGACCTCACTCTGGGTGCTCCAGACATGAATACAAGCGAAACTTCCTCAAAACTCGTTATTCTGCTTCTCGCCCCAAAATCACCAATTTGTATCAAGTTACCTGAGCTGGTGGGTTAGCTCAAATTCACGAAGAGCACAGCCAACCCACCAACATTATCCACTAAAACCCCCATCTTGCTTATGCTTATGCCTTGACAAATCAGCTCGTAGACCATGAACATGGATAATAACTCGGGTTTTCCTCCTCCAGCAACATCTAATCACCAGAACTTCACAATATCGACTCAGATCTCCTGCTCTAAGGCTCCAGAAATCCACAAAATCGCACCAACCCACTTTGAAGAACCCACATTAACAGTCATCGATTCATATAAAAGCTCCAAAAACTAGCTCAAAACACCCAAGAGGAGATACCACAAACCTCCAGGAGATCTCAAAGTGGGTGAAGCATTCTCCACTGAAGTGAAGGGAACTGACAGCACCCACTACATCAGCGAGCAAGTTTCATGGGTTCGTGGAGAAACACCAGAAAATGGAACCGCGAGGAGCCTTCGAACGCAGAGATTCCTTCGTGCATTGCAAGGAGAGAGAGAGAGACAGAGAGAGAGAGAGAGAGAGAAAGAAAGGAGGATGATTTTGAAACTATACCCTCTCACTTTCAGCGACTGACCACCTCTCCCACCACATGGATAGCTAAAGCTGCCAACTTTCGCTCCAATCTTCCACGCTTCCTTCTTCTTCTCTCAAAGATGGGAATTTTCCAGGGGAAATGCAGGAAGAAATGGGGAAGATTCGACTGATCAGCAGATGGGTATGGATCCACGGGATTTGCAGACCAAACCCAGTTGCGTGTAGAGAGAGAGAGAGAGAGAGAGAGAGTGTGTGTGTGTGTGTGTGTGTCTGCGTGCGTGTGAAGATTGAAGAAGACTAGGCTCGAGCTCTAGCTAGCTTGGATTTCATGTGGTCTGAAGCGACGGGGAGAGGCGGTCGCGCCACTGCTTTACCGGCTATTGCCGGTTGGACTGGCCATGCCTTTTCTTCTGTCTTGGTCATCATCATCCATCGTTGGTATATATTGCTGGAGAAAAATTAGCAGGATATATTATGTTTCTTTTTTTGGCTAAATTTTTAATTTTTTTTCTTTTTTTGTGGGGAATGTAAAAGTGAGTTGCTCTGTAATTAAATACTAAATAGTAGATGGAAAAGAGGCCCCATCAAAGATTTCTCGGATTTGTCCAAATTGACATTGGAGAGCATGACGCTGTGTAATGATTGCATTGGGTCGTATGTATCATAGATTGCACATCATGATTCTGTGAAAGTCACCCAACTTAAATCAATTCTTATACCATGGCAAAAGGCTCGACACTTTGTGCATAGAACCAGAACTATCAACACGGATTATAAATCTATTTCTTAACAAACATATGATGAGTTGAGTTGTTGTATGTTTTAATTATAAGTGGATTTAAATATAATTTGGGTGATAATATTAAATGGATCGTAAATGGGTTTACGTTTTACGTAGACCCAACGTACATAAATGATTCTTTCTCGCCCTCACTTGATCTTGTGCCTATTGACTGCGCATTCTTACTTCAGTTTTAGTATGAATTTTCTTAAATTGTGTTAAATATAGAAGTATTTTAATAATATGGGTCGGGTCGGAATATGTGTTGGGTTTGAATTGAGTATAGATCACTAGATTTGCGTAGCATAGAAATTGATCTATTTAGGTTGGACCTTTTTTGTCTCGACCCAAACTTGACCCAACCGATCCGTTTGACAAGTCTAAATGTAACTGAGGTCAATATAATAATAATAATAATAATAATAATAATAATAATAATAATAAGGGTATTGATTACTGCTTACAAAATTCATATTTTTGGTTCTTAAACTTCATATGATTTCGGAGATAGGGTTATAGCATTTAAAATCATAATTTTATCATCTAGGACAAATGTCAGTGCACGCCGAATTTTCTCTATTTCGAGTAACTCGTTCGATCGATCATGCTACACTTGCACTTCGCAGGGCTCGATCCCGAGAATTCTAAATTCGTTGTCATATTCTAATTAACGATAATATATTGTATTAAGATTAAGAAATTTGTAATTAATTGACTCATTAGCTCCTAAAGGTTCTACACACCCTGAAATGCAATTTGATATTTTATGTCTGCCCTTGTCATGACAAGGAAAAAAGTCCAATTGATTTTGAAGGACTCATTGGTTCAAGCAAGCTGCAAGCTGTACACCAACGAACCTTACTCAGGCCAGCATTGCACATTTTTTTGGACCATCACACTTCTCGTCCAACATATAATAATATGCTAGAGTTGAGCCCGTGTGATGCACGGAACATAGTGATAAAATGGTGGATCAAGTAATAAATTATAGGGGAAAGTGCATCAAAAGTTTTAGAATTTATCACAAGAGTGCAATGAAGTCCTAAAACTTTCAAAAAGTGCAATTAAGTCATAAAATTTGTAACGAAAGTACAATCAAGACCTAAAACTTCCAAAAAGTGCAATCAACAAAAGTTTTAGGACTTGATAATACCAATTTGACAAGTTTTAGGACTTCAGTGCACTTTTTAAAAATTTTAGGACTCAACTGTACTTTTTATGATAAATTTTAAGACTTAATAAATAGGCTTAATACCATTTGACAAAAAAAAGGATTAATACCACGAAAAACCCTAAAGTAGTACATATGTGATAAATTTACCTCAGACTAATTTTTTGACTACAAAAAATCTCAAACTGGTATATCTGTGACAAATTTACTCCAAACTAATTTTTTGATCACAAAAAACCCCAAATTGATACATTTGTAACAAATTTGCCCTCCGTTAAATTTGATTAATACAAAAAAAAAATCACAAACTAGTACACATGTGACAAACAGAGGGTAAAACCCCAAACTGTTACATTCGTCAACTGTCACGTGTCATTTAACTCGGCAATTTGATAGTAAAATTTAACGGAAACTAACGAAGAGTAAATTTGTTACAAGTTTATCAGTTTGGGGGTTTTTGTTGGTTAAAAAATTAGTTTAGAGGAATTTGTTACATGTGTACTAGTTTGAGGTTTTTCGTAGTATTAATCCTAATAAATATACAGAAGTATTCCATTTCTAACTTTAGAAGATGAAAAGCCCTATGCTTGTTGGATTTGGATGGTGTATTTGTGCCTTGGGCTCTGTCTAGTGTGGTCTTCAAGTCTTATCTAAAGCCTATAATCATTTTCTGTTTCATAGGAAAAGAGTTCAACTCAAAGCTGTGTCTCCGCCACTGCATACCATGGTGCTCAATCAAATTGCAAGCCCGCATTTGGGCAAGAGGATACTACAAGTGCCATAAGTTGTGTACGGAGGACACTTTGGTGCCATAACTTTTTTTCGGAACACTTTGGTGCCAAGTCGGAGGAAAAGAGATCACTTAAGTGCCAATTTGGCCGGAAATCCGACGTGGCATTTTTTTTAATTTTTGACATCGACGTGGCTTGCCGGAGGATGAGTCAGTGTGTACAGTTAGCATTTTTTATTTTAAATAATTTTTTTCTAGCGTGTACAGTCAGCATTTTTTATTTTAAATAAATTTTTTCCTTTTTTTTTTCGTCTTCTTTCCGTTTTCCTTTCTTTTCTCCCCTCGTCGGCCCGGCCACCGGCGAAGCCCGGGAAGGGCTGGGCGAGGGCGGCCTTGCCCATGGCCGGTGAGGGACGGCCTCGCCAGATCTGGGCGAGGCGACCCTCGCTGGCGACAGGCGAGGGGCGGCCTCGCCCATGGCCGGTGAGGGGCGGCCTCGCCCATGGCCGGCGAGGGGCGGCCTAGCAAGATCCGGGCGAGGCGACCCTCGCCGGCGATCGCGAGGGCGGCCTCGCCGGCCATGGGCGAGGGGTGACCTCGCTAGATCCGGGTGAGGCAACCCTCGCCCATGGCCGGCGAGGCGGCCTCGCCTGTCACCGGCGAGGTCACCTCGCCGATCCTGGCGAGGCCGCCCCTCGCCCATGGCCGGCGAGGGGCGGCCTCGCCTGTCGCCGGCGAGGGTCGCCTCGCCCAGATCTGGCGAGGCCGCCCCTCGCCGGCCATGGGCAAGGCCGCCCTCGCCCAGCCCTTATTGGGCTGGCCCGGCCACCGGTAACCGGCCGGCGAGGGGAGAAAAGAAAGGAAAAAGGAAAGAAGAGGAAAAAAATTATTTAAAATAAAAAATGCTGACTGTACACGCTGGAAAAAAATTATTTAAAATAAAAAATGCTGACTGTACACGCTGACTCATCCTCCGGCGAGCCACGTCGGCGTAAAAAATTAATAAAAAATGTCACGTCGGATTTCCGGCCAAATTTGCACTTAAGTGATCTCTTTTCCTCCAACTTGGCACCAAAGTGTTCCGAAAAAAAGTTATGGCATCAAAGTGTCCTCCGTACACAACTTATAACACTTGTAGTGTCCTTTTGCCCCCGCATTTGCCAAGAAAATTGAGGAGACTGAAGCCTTTCTTGAATCCAAATGCCAAGAAACCTTATAGGTGAAATAATGATATACTTGTCCCATAAAAAGACTGAATCGATCGCGAAGGTCGATGGCTCCGAGTCCCGCACAAACTTCACACTCGTTGGCCACTGTAATTAATGCCCCAAGTAGTGGACATTTTCTCCGGTGTAATATCTCCTTCATCATATTTGACCCGGTTTAACATTTCGTTATGATAAAACTTCATATTGCATGCCGCCTTGATAGTAACTTTTTTAAGATATATTGTTTTCTTTGCACGTGAAAGACTTCAAAGCTTCGTACAAATCAAGAAATACGAGTTCACATCGTTTGGATTACTAGTCGCCCAAGAAGAAATAAAGTGTAAAACACTAAGGTGACCCTTTGCAGTCTTGAGAGAATAATGTTGGAGGCCTAATGTCAACATCCAATAGAGCTTGATCTTGACCTTGTAAGTCGACAGAGCGAGCGAGATGCGATGCTAAAAATCTATGGATAATTAAGGATAAAGAAAGGGAACTGCATTGATAAAATAAAAATAAGAGCCAATCCGAACTAATTATTTATACAGATAATGAAGCATAGCCTCCTACACCTTGTCACGTTATCAGACAAGTATACAAGTGACAATGCTTCTGATCCATAAAAGTAGTCCAAGCAGCAAGATTGGTGTGGTTAGCTTTAGGGGTGATCGGTTTTAGGGTAGGTGGATATCCTGGAATCGAAAACTGCCTACTAAGGACCGGTTCCATAAAATGGGAATTGGGGACCGCTCGTTAGTTCCATGGTCCAGTTCCTGAGTGAGTCCATGAAACTGGTCTTTTTGTTTGTGAACGCATACAAGAATACTATGTTCAATATCAAAACGATACTACGACAACTGACAATATAATTTTATTCTCCTACTCTTTTTCTTCTTCCAACTTTCCTTGAACATTTAAAGAACCAAAAGAATAAACAGAGAAAGCTCCTAAAAGAAAAGTTCAGACCTTTCCAACCCTATTCAAAGAGCCTTGAAAGAAACCTAGAGTGACCAAGACACTGGCCATGATCGCCACTAAATATGTGGGGGTCTTACCCAGTGATCTCCCTTCTCCTTCCATTTTAACACCAACCTAGAACTCTCTCTTCCCTTTTCTTTAAATCTCAAACCCAAATTCAAACCCACTGATACAAGAAAGAGACCCCAACTCTCTTTGATTCAAAGCAAGAAAGTTCATAACTTTTAGAGACCGTACAGTGAAAAGAAAAACACATTTAAGATGAGGTGAGAGAGTTGAGAGGGTTAGGGTTGAGAGCGTGTGTGACATCCGAAAATTTCGTAATAATATATATATGTGATATTGAAAATTTTTCGAGTTCGATAATTATACTTAAATTATAAAACTAAGTATTATTTAGCTTAGCATTCGTATGGATGTGTAGAAATCGTCGT